GTCTATACTTTCAACTGGGCTTCCCTTGTGGCTCAGCTGGTAAGGAATCTGCTGCAATGCGGGAGACCAGGGTTCGATCCCTGGGTTGGGAAGATCCTCTGGAGAACGGAAAGGCTACCCACTCCAATATTCTGGCCTGAAGAATTCCATGGACTGTATATCCATGGAGTCGCAAAGAGTCGGACACAGCTGAGCTACTTTCACATACATACATATCAACTAAAAGGAAGCTGAATCCACTAGGCTGTTAAGAAAATCAGTCTTCTCATTTGCCCCAAGTCAAAATAATGTGGGCTTGAGAGGCATAATAAATGATATCCCATAAAAAAGTGATGTATTTGGAGACAACAGCACGTGTAAGGAAAAGAAACTCTCACATCAAGAAAATTCAATTCATTTGTGAAGTTCGGGCTTAAGAAGGTCTAATTCATACATTCTCTTTACACTTGACCTAAATAAAGGATTATAACAGGTATTCTTTTTCTCATTAAGAGTTATCTTTAATATGTTCTTAGACTATTAGGCCATGAAGAGCAGAGACTGAAATTTTTTTTATGCTTACTATTATGGTCATTAACTATATGAAAATGACAATGATGAACTGAAAATTTCCTTTTTCTTTCTTACTGAAAAATCTAAAAATCTGAAGACAGCTACCAAATGAATCTTCATAACGTTTTCATAATTTAAAATAGTGGTTAAGAGCATAGGTTCTGCAGTAAGGCTGACTGGCTTCAACCGTTTCTCCTAAGTATACTAATCAAGTAAATGTGCTACATACTTTGTGGCTCTCCAGGCGGCGCAGTGGTAAAGAATCTGCCTGCTAATGCAAGAGACTCAGGAGAATGGGTTGAGGAAAATCCCCTGGAGAAGGAATGGCAACCCACTCATCTTCTTGCCCGGAGAATCCCATGGACAGAGGAGCCTGGGGCGGGCTACAGTCCACGGAGTCACGAAGAGTTGGACACGACTGGGCAAGCAGCACACACATGCTGCACACTGTGCAACCCTGGAAAAGTTATAGAATTTCTCTGTGACTCAGTTTCTTAACTATAAATGAAGACAATAACTCTCTCTCTCTCACAGGACTGTTGAAAGATACACATAGAGTTCTTTAAAAAATACACATAAAGTTCTTAAAATAATACATGGCATACACTGTAAACTCAATAAGTTATGATTATCAATATCTACCCTGCCAAAAAATTTTCAATAGCTCAACATTGCCCCAAAATAGCAACCAGTGATGAGGCATCCATCATGTGAGGGCACCTTGCACTCATTATCCCTAACTTCTAAAACACCACCATGGAGACAGTATTACCACCGTTTTACAGATGAGAAAATCAAGGCTCAACAAGGTTAAGGAACTTGCCTGAGCTCATCCAGCTAAGGAGTAAACCCTATCAGTCTAACGCCAAACCTATGCTACTTCCATTACCTTACACTATAGTCAGGATAAAGGGCAAGCTCCTCATCTGTTTTCAAGATCCATATTTATTCATCCAATACATTAAAGTAACATTTATTAACCATAATCTGACCCTCCTTATCTATCTAAACTGGAATTCAACTCCTCAGCATGAAAGTGCCCTTCCAATCAGGTTTACCTGATCATTATCCACCCCGTCATATTTGGTCTACAGTCTCATAGAGCCTCTCATTTGGTCTAATGTGGCCAAAAAGAACTTCTCTCAGAAGTGCTGGAAGGCCAAACAGACATCACAGCACCTGTCTGATGGGCTTTAAACAAACTAGAATGGGAACTGAATACATGACAAAGTAACAAACAGTCTTTAACTCTCATTGCCTAAGAATCTTTTCCAATTAACTTATCACATCTTTTACCTCTACTTTCCATCTATTTCTAGTCCTGCACAGCAAGTTTATAAGCCAAAGATGATTGTCAAAGGAAAACAACACCAGAAATCAACCAGTTTGTTGATTCACTGGTTCCTAGATGAGAGCCATTATCTAGAATAAGCTACGATTTTCTATAGATGGATTAGTCTCGTTTCCTTCACACCATCACTAACAGACTGCAAATATTTTGCCTGCCTTCCTTCCTTCATGCATATGTGTCTGTGTGTTTTCCTGTCTCCCCCACCAGAAGATAAGCTCCATGAAGGCATAAAAATTATCTTTCTCGTGTATCCCCAGAGCTCAGCCTTGTATATCATATTTAGCAACACACGAATAATGAAATGAAGTCTGTTGTCTTAACTAGTTAAATAATCCTGGACAAATCATTTAACATTAATGAATTTGTAGATAATGTTTAAAATAAAATTATATACAAATTTTTGAGGTTTGACAGAAAACAGCAAAATTCTGTAAAGCAATTATCCTTCAATAAAAAATAAATTAAAAAAATTATATACAAATTTAAAAAGTTAACTCAGTGATGAAAAGTTATTAAATTTATCTGAAACAGCCATCTTCAAATAAAGAATCATAAGGAATAACATTTACTGAGGGAAAAACTGTTTATAGTCACTGAATAGAAAATAAAAAGACTTGTTCCTTTTCGGTTATTCTGAACACCTACTGTAAGCCATGCACTCTTCTAGACGTTAAGGATGATGAGACAGACAAGTATCCTGCTCTCAAGAAGTTTACATTCTAGCTGGCGCAGGGGAAATTGCAGAAGATTAACAAATAAGATGTCAAATGGAACACTATGCAGAGATCAAACAGACTGATGAGAAGGACTTGTAGCTTGTTCTAGACTGGATGTCAGGGACAAACTCTCTGGACAAATGACATTTAAGGATAAATCTGAATGGTAAGAAGCAGTCAACCTTGAGAAAATATGAACAATAGTAACTACTAATGCCAAAGCCCTGAAGTATGGGGCTGAAAGACACTGGATCCAGCAGAACATGTTGGAAATAAGGTGGGAATCAGAGTATAAAGGCATCTATAGGTTAGAGAAAGGAGTTTTGATTTTATTCTAGGTGAAAGAAAGCCTGTGGAAATTTTAAACAGCAGAATGACATAATCCAATCAACACTGTGAAAAGGTCTGGCTGCTTATGTGACAAATGGATTAAAGTAGGGGGAAGAGTGAAAGCAAGGAAATTAGTTTGAAAGTCAAGTTGCAGTGATATGGAGCTGACTATAGTAGTGGCAGTAAAAATGGAGAGAAATCAATGGATATGTTCAAAGAAAAAGGGTTGTTTTTATTGGAGGCTTTCTTTTTTCTTTCCTTTTTCCTTTCTGTTTTTCATTTCGTTTTTAATGCATGGAAGACTACATTCAGTACTCATTTTTACAACTCTCAAAGTTTAACTTCTCCACAACCATCATCACATACACACAAAGAAAAGATATCATAAACTGAACTATGAAAATAAAACTGTGCTTTAAAAAGAAATGTTAAAATTATTATATAGGGCAGAGCATTATGCTGTAATGGCTTTACTTCTAAAACAGCCTAAAACTATAAATGCCAAGGAGAAGAAATTTTTAAAACTCAACTCCAAAAAAACACTGGCTACCCATACAAAGGAAAACAAAACAGTTTTACTTCTTTCTCCGCTCTGATGGCAACACATTACCATCCTAAGTTCGCCATTTTTGAAGCCTTGGGTAGGATGGCCATTTTTCATTCCCTTTATAAAATCGACTAACACAAGATTTAACTAAACTGTTGTTGCATTTAAAACAAACAAACAAAAATAAGTGAGTCCTCTCTACCTCTTGAAAATTAGTCTAATCCTGATAACAATGTATTTCTGAGAGGATGCAATATTTATATTTTCTTGACAAACGCCATAGAATCACCTACGGTGGCACTGCACCTGCCGAGTCAAGGCTCCATTTCCACAGTAACAGATGCTGCAAACAAGTATTGTTCCGTCTTTTTCACTTGCCTGCTTTCATGTGCATGTGTGTGCATGTGCGTGTGCGTGTGCGTGTGCGTGACGCGCTGGCAGCATCTGAAAATCTGTCCTCCTCCTGCGAAGGTTTATGTCCTTTCACGAACTGCTACCTCTTCAAAATAGGACGGCAACCCTAAATGTCTTTCTGTTCCCCTGTTTCTTTCTCTATCTCAAGGGCAGGGAGCTCAAATTAGGGAAAAGATTACCTGACTTGGCAATCCATGCCCCGCCCCGTATTTCAATCAACCACCTCAGATCCTTTTGAAAAGATGTAAGATAGCCATCAAGATACACTTGAGCGCCCAGTACTACTCACCCCTCTCTGCTTTGTCCCTGGACAGGTTCCCCGTCTCTCAGGTACCGTCCTTCCTGCCGGGGGACCGCACCACACTTTGTCCCCGGTGGCGTTGGATTCGGCCGGCTCCGTCCAGCGCAGGACGACACCGCGCAGCTACCTGAAGCCGGAACCCAGGTCCCAACAGGCACGCAGCAGAGAACTGCTGTGTGGATTTCCAACGCGGCTTGGCGTGCTCTCAGAATGTGTGATCTCGAGATCATTTAATTTTCGATCTCATGTTTTCACAGCATGTTTCCGGCCAGGAAGTGCACTAAAGACCTCAACACTGGAGATCCCTCCGGAGAGAGTTTTGCCCCCCGCCTCGGGTCACCAGGTCTCCCAGATGTGGGTCTGGGGTGGATTCTATCACAAACCTGAAATCAGGAGGCAGCCCAGGGACCTTGTTCCAGAACATTCCTGGCCTCAGGAGCGACCTAGTGTGAGAGACATGTGGGACCAGGTGCGACTGGCGCCATCCGGAAGCCTTGGCCTCCATTATGCCTGGGGCGCTCTTCGCAGGACCGAGGCCATCAGCGGCCTCCTCCACAGGAAGCCGGAGGTGTCCTCCCACCTCCTTGAAGTCTCTTTTCCGTTTGTTTTCATTGGGTGCCAAGGATGAGGCCTGCTCCTAGAGAATCCCTCCCTGGCGGTACCTTCCCCCTGTCTCTCGCTGGGGGGGCGCTCTTGCGCCCAGCCCCCAAGTCCCTCGAGACTTAGCTTCCCGCCCAAAGCGCCCCTCGCCCTGTGATTGGCTGTCTGAGGGTCCTTGGCCAATGGGGGATGACGTATTCGCCCGGCGTCAACCCTCGAGGCTGGGGGAGGAGGAAGCACGTCGGCTCTGCGACGTGCGTACGTGTGGTGCGCGAGGACGGTGGCGCGAGGTGTGTGGTGCTGGCTGCGTGGCCTCAGGCTTTCGCTGTCAACCCCCGCCCCCCCGCTTCCCGGTGCACGTGTGTGCCGGGCCCCGCTGCAGGACGAGGGCACCTGGGGGGCGGCTGCAAAGCCCGTGCTGCCGGAGGCGACAGTGAGGGCGAGCCTTGGATTCGGGCCTCCGGGACCCGCACTCTCCATTCCCAGAAACCTTCGCGCCGAGAGGTCTCTCTTCAGAGGAGTTGGGCCCGGGGCGCTCGGAGCTTGCGGGGCACCCCGCTTTGCAGGGCCTTCCCTGAAGCCCTGCTTTCCCTGCTCCTCCAACCCCGATTCCTTTGCTTCTGGACAGGGAAGGAGACCTCGGGACGCCGTTGTGCAGCTTTGCTAAGCCTCCCCGCGCCGGGCTGGAGTGTGGGAGGAAGCAAGGCAGGCTGGATCGAGGACCCGAGCACCGAGACGACCGCAGGAGCATCTCCTCCCGCGGAGCTATTCCAGGTTGGGTCTGGGGGCGAGGCCCAGTGCTGGTGGGTCGGAAACTCTCCCCCAGAGCCTACGTTTGGGCCCTTGAAACCGCTGCCATCCTCCACTCCCGTGTCTCTGGCTGGGATGGAATTGAACCTGCGGTTTCTTAATTTACCTTTTCCACTCTTTTCTTTCCCGATAATTTGACGTGAACCGTTTGGAGCCCTGGTGTCACCTGACAGAAACCTGCATGCCAGGAAAGGAACACCACCCGTGCAGCGTGTGAGGATCTCGGTACAGAAAACTGGAAACATAGTAAGCCTGAATTCCGAATACCCAGCTTGTGTTGGGAAGGGGTAGAATTTAGCATAATCATCCTTGCTTCACTGTTAGCCAGATAGTTAACCAGATCGACAAACCTGAAGACTAAATTCTGTGCCAATTTCCAGGCAGAAACAGGCTTCCTTTGGGCAAGAACATCTGAACCAAGGGTGGCAGTCTTCTCATTTCGGTTGGAGACCGTCTCAGCAAGTCCAACAGCTTCTCTTCTTTGCTGTGCACCCTCTGCTGGTCAGTGTGCTAGAGTGAGCTTGGAGAAAATAAGGAGTGTTTGACTTTTTAGAGATCACTAATACTTAGTAAGTATTTTGTTAAAATGTGTTAAATGTGGGAAGTATTCCCATGAAACTCAGAAATGTGATGCTCAGGAAGAATATGAGTAGTCAGCACCGTAGGAGTTGAGTCCCTGGTAATATGAATAAGGAAGGTTTAAGGATAACAAGAATTCCGTTTTTGTAGTACTAGTTCTGTGCCAGGCACTCACAGTGCTAAGCAGTTTGGTAGAAATTGACTCATTAAATCTCTTAAACAGCCTTATGAGGTTAGTACAGAAGTATTATAATTCCCATTTCCTAGCTAGATCAGGAAAGTAAGACTCAGAGAAGTTAGATCATTTCCCTGAAATTATACAACTAAACAAATAAATAACAGAGCTGAGATTCAAATCTAAGGCTATCAATGAACTCCCACCTGTAACCACTAGGATATTCTTAAGATACCCTGGGGGGCACAATTCCTGGGTTTATGGTTCGTCAATTCATGCCTTTGTCTCTTACTTTCAAAATTTCACTGTCATCTTAAAGATAAAAAGAAAAAAATTAGGGATAACCATGCCTCTGAAAGGTGTTATCTCACCCACAGGAATCTGACCCATGAAAACCCAGAAAGTTTGTTAAGAGACCAACATGTGCTCTCCTGCCAGTCCCAAAATCCTGTACAGGAATCCCCGGTTCCTCCGGCTAGCGTTTCTGCAGCTTTATCACCAGCAACAGAGTGGTGTGTTCTGTGATGTCCTTCTGCAGGCAGAAGGTAAGAGACTAGTAGGGACCCAATTGAAAATTCACCATAGACTAAGAGAAAATGATTTTAGGGCCAGGCAGTGAAGGACAGAACCAGGAAAGTGTGTAATGATTGCCTTTGAGTCCTGTTTGGTAAACACCTTTTTCTAGGACGGGTACATTTTTCAAAAGTGAAAGTGAGATTATACTCCTTCTCTTAAAAAAAAAAATGAGCTAATTATAAAGTGCCGTAAGTGTAGGAATTCTGTGAAATGTGGGTAATATGGTAGTGGGATGTTTGTGAAGATTGAGTTTAACGTACGTAAAACACTTAGAAAGGTACTTTTAATGTACTAAGGAGAATGTAAGTATTAGATGGTCCTGTTATGTATTTCTCTGTTTTCTTTTTTATTTCTTTATTATTTTGGGCTGCGCTGGGTCTTTATTGCTGCACTGGCTTTTCTCTAGTTGCAATGAGTGGGGACTGTTCATCGCAGTGCTTCTCATTGCAGGCTTCTCATTGCAGTGGCTTCTCTTGTTGCAGCTCATGGGCTCTAGAGTGCATGGGCTTCAGTAGATGGGTCCCTGGGCTCTAGAGCACAGGCTTAATAGTATGGCTTACTTGCTTCTCGGCATATGGAATCTTCCCAGACCAGGGACTGAACCTGTGTCTCTTGCACTGGCTGGCAAATTCTTTACCACTGAGCCACCAGGGAAGCCCTGTTTTCCTATTGTTTTGCCAAGCAAGTAACTTCTTCTCTTACTAGTTCACTTTCTTCGTTACCAACATTGTGTAACACTCTCCAGTTTACCAAGTACATATAGTGTAGTTTAGTTCTCATCTTGATTCTTAATGACAGCCTTGTGAGATAAAGAATGTTGTATGGTTCCAGTTCTACAGATGTGCGAATTGAGACAGTGATTTAAGTGACTTGTCTGTTGGTTCTCTTAGTAAGAGTTCCGCTTCATTCCTTTATTCAAAGTAAACCAAAAAAGTATACTGTACTAGCATGGGCACATAGTACATATGACGGGGAAGTCCATCCTTATAAGGAAACCATATGAGGGGGAGATACTCAAATACCAGTGCATTCAGATAACTGGGCAGTATAGCAGATAGCATTGGGGTAGATACAGGCTGATGACGCGGGAGCTCAAAAGAGGCACGTACTTCAGACTTGAGGAGGTTGGGAGACGGGGGTCAGGGGGATTTTCTTGGAGGAAATAACCTCTTAGATGAGTTTTGAAGGACAAATAGAAGTAGGAAGAAGTGGGGAAGGATTTTCCCAGGCAGAGAAAAAAGCATGTACAGAGATTGAGAGGTATGGGCCAGAGCTTTGCAAGTGGTTCATTATGGCTATAGAGCACAGATTGTAAGAAGTGTACTGATCAGAGCTGTGGCTAGAGAAATTAGCAGGTCTGAAGTGTTACACCAGGGAAGTTGATCTTGTCCTCAGAACACTGGAATTGTACTTGTAGATTTTAAGAAGAAGGTCATAACTGCTTTAGAAATAGGACTCAGGCTCCAATGAGGGGAATTATTAGATTGTTATTGAGTCCAGATAGGAGGCTGTTTGGGGATCCAGGAGAAAGGGAATTGTGGCCTGAACTAAGGCATTGAGAATAGAAAGAAATGTACAGTTTATGAGCTATTAAAGAGAAGTATTAAAGAGTTATACAGATGGGAAAGTTGAACCATAAAGAAGGCAGCGTACCGAAGAATTGATGCTTTCAAATTGTGGCGCTGGTGAAGACTCTTGAGAGTCCTTTGGACAGCAGGGAGATCAAACCAGTGAGTGCTAAAGGAAATCAACCCTGAATTCATTGGAAGGACTGATGCTGAAACTGAAGCTCCAATACTTTGGCCACCTGATGCAAAGAGCTGACTCATTGGAAAAGACCCTGATGGCCAGGAAAGATTGAGGGCATGAGAGGAAGGGGCTGACGGGATGAGATGGTTGGATGGCATCACTGACTCAATGGACATGAGTTTGAGCTAGCTCCAGGAGATAGTGAAGGACAGGGAAGCCTGTGTGCTGCAGTCCATGGGGTCAAAGAGAGTCGGACACAAATTAGTGACTGAACAACAGCAACAAAAAGAATTTACAAAACTTGCTGCAGTTAAGAACATAGACTGAGGTAGCCTTGGGTTTAAAACTTGTCCCTGCTCCTTCAGTTCAGTTCAGTCGCTCAGCCGTGTCCAACTCTTTGCGACCGCATGAACCAGGCCTCCCTGTCCATCACCAACTCCCAGAGTCCACCCAAACCCATGTCCATTGAGTCAGTGATGCCATCCAACCATCTCATCCTCTATTGTCCCCTTCTCCTGCCCTCAATCTTCCCCAGCATCAGGGTCTTTTCCAATGAGTCAGCTCTTCACATCAGGTGGCCAAAGTATCGGAGTTTCAGCTTCAACATCAGTCCCTCCAATGAACACCCAGGACTGATCTCCTTTAGGATGGACTGGTTAGTATCTCCTTGCAGTCCAAGGGACTCTCAAGAGTCTTCTCCAACACCACGGTTCAAAAAGCATCAGTTCTTCAGCACTCAGCTTTCTTTGCGGTCCAACTCTCACATCCATACATGACTCCTGGAAAAACCATAGCCTTGACCAGACAGAACTTTCTTGGCAAAGTAATGTCTCTGCTTTTTAATATGCTGTTTAGGTTGGTCATAACTTTCCTTCCAAGGAGTAAGTGTCTTTTAATTTCATGGCTGCAGTCACCATCTGCAGAGATTTTGGAGCCTCCCCCCCCCTCCCAAATAAAGTCAGCCACAGTTTCCCCATCTATTTGCCATGAAATGATGGACTGGATGCTTAACTGACTGTAATTTTGCACATTACTACACTATGCCTACACTACAGTTTACTCATCTGTAATAACAACTACCTCACAGGGTTGCAGTGAAGATTAAAATTAATTCTGGTAAGAGCCTTAGGTGCCTGGCACATAATAAGGACTGAAGAGCTATTTGTTTTTTTAAAGAAAACTTAATGTTTGATTAGATGTAGTGGGTAAAAGAAAAGGAAGACTCAAATGTGACTTTTGTTTTCAGGCCTGGGCCATTGGGTAAATGTGTTGTCTTATTTTGAAGTAAAAGTCAGGAAGTTTTGAAGTATGGGGAATGGTGAGTTTACTTTCTAGAAAGGTTGCATTGGAGGTACTTTTGGGACAGCCATGTAGTCTTGCAGGCCGCGGCATGCCTAGTATTTCAGAAGAGGTATCTGGGCAGAGGTTGGATCTGGGAATCGTCAGCAAGCCTTGCTGATGGAAGCCATGGGAGAGGGGGAATTCCCCGGAAGTGCCCATAAAATGAGGTGGCGGCTCAGGACAGTGGGCACCAGGCAGTGCAGAGATTCCAGGAGAGAACTGAGCGCTGATTGAAAAGGGAAAGCTGTGTGTCACCAAGTCGTGCCCAGCTCTCTGCGGCCCCATGGACTGCATGGCCCACCAGGCTCCTCTGCCCACGGCATTCTCCAGGCAAGAGCCCTGCAGTAGGTAGCCATGCCCTCCTCCAGGGGACGTTCCACACCCAGCGGTGGACCCTGGGTCTCCTGCACTGCAGGCAGATTTTTTACTGTCTGAGCCCCCAGGGAAGCAGCCCCTGGTTATCCTAGTTATCCGTCTCCAAAGCTCATGGTTTTTATTAGATCACAAGCAGCTTCTGTACAGATTTTTAAACTCTGGGTGAGTCAAAAACATTTATTCAGCAAGTGTTTGATCCCTGCTCTGTGCCCAGTACTGGGTATTCTTCAGTGAGTCAGACAGGCAGGGTCCCTGTCCTTGGAGCTTAGAAGTGCAGTGAAGGAGATGGGCAGTTCCAACGCAAATAGCCGAATCTGTGATAGCTAGTGCACCTCACCCAAACGGGATGGCGGGAAAGGGCCAGCGGAGGCTTTCTGAAAGCCTAAAACAAATCTTTAAGGTTAAAAAATGCGTTAGCTGGGTAATGGCAGAATGTTCCAGGTAGGCAGAAGAAACAAATTTCTCCTACTTGAACTTCCATGAGGGAAACTGAGAAGGGACAGCACATTCAGGTAGTAGCGTCTGTGTACCCACGAACTTGCCAGTCGGCCTGAGATAAATACTTGGGTTTCCCTCCAGGTGAGGCAGTCCCAGCCCACTGCTGCATCCTGTCAGCCTGCAGCCCCTTCTTCACAGAGCGCCTGGAGCGGGAGAGGCCAGCCCAGGGTCGGAAGGTGGTGCTGGAGCTGGGGGGCCTGAAGATCAGGACCCTGAGGAAGCTGGTGGACTTCTTGTACACCTCTGAGATGGAGTTATCTGGAGAAGAAGCCCAGGACGTGCTTTCTGCAGCCCGCCAGCTCCGTGTGTCGGAGCTCGAGTCCCTTCAGCTAGAGGGCGGGAAGCTGGTGAAGGCCCCGCAGGGCCGAAAGCTGAACAGGGAGTGCCTGCAGCCTCCCAGCCCCGAGCCAGTCTCTGCCAGGGTGGTGGCATCCAGCCGCCGGCCTCGAGCTCCCCTGCCTGTCACCCAGACGCCCTGTCCTCTCGGGGCAGCGAGACTGAAGTCCTCGGGGAAGGAGGAGGGGCACCTGGAGAAGAACCACCGACAGGACCCGGAGAACTCATCTGGCACTCTCCTGCTCGAGAGGAAGGCCAGGGCCTGCCCAACTGCACAAGAAACAAGGGCTTCACCATCGAGCCATGGTCAGGGGCCCAAAGAGAACAGGAGTGGCCCCGCCCACGGTCCTATGGCACTCTCCCCATCCAGCTTGTACCCCTCCGTTGACGAGCGACTCCTACCCAGGAAGATCAAGCTAAGCCGCTCAAAGCCGTCTCCCGATGTCTGCACATCCAAGCCCGCCACCCTGCTCAGCGGGCCCAGCTCAGCGCCCACAGCCCCTGGCCGGCGGCTGTGGCGGCAGAAGAGCACCAATAAGGGAGTGCTGGAGGACAAGCAGAGGACGGGGCGAGCCAGTCCCCTCCGGAGCAACCCAGGCGCCTCCGGGCTGGGGAAGACAGGCGGCAGCAAGAAGCGGAGCCCCGAAGCCAGGGCCCCTCACCCAGACTCTGCAGAGGAGGGGCAGGTTGGGAGAGTGAAGCTCCGCAAGATTGTCAACGGGACCTGCTGGGAGGTAGTTCAGGAGCCTCCCCTCAGGCCCTCTCAGGATAGCCCTCAAATCCCAGAACTCAGAGACTTAGCGGAGCCTCCGGGGACACAGCCATCCTCTGGTAACGAGCAAGACCTGTCATCCTCGAGAGCAAACCTGTGTAAGGACTACCCCGTGTGCTCCAGGCTACAAGACATTTTGCTCTCTGCCGGCCGCTCCCCAGACCACCCAGCGAAGTGCGAGTTTGGGTCCAGCCCAGAGCTGGTGGGGAAGGAACCTGGACTGGACGTGGACTGCAGAGAGTCCTTCACGCTCAGCCCAGCCGTGCTCGGGCAGCCCTGCGAGGCTGAGGAGTACCGCATCACCAGCGCCGCCGCCACCAGCGAGCTGGAGGAGATCCTGGACTTCATGCTCTGCGGCTCCGACACTGAGCCGCCTGTGGAGTCTCTGGGGAGTCCCCAGGCTGAGAGCTGCAGGACCCTGAGTTACCACCTGACAGAGACAGGCAAGACCTGGATCGAAGGGGAAGAATGGTGTTTGCCGGACGTGGAGCTCTGGCCCAGGGAGCTCACAGAACTGGAAGAGGAGCCTCTTGGTGAGAACAAAGGGCCAGCTGAGCCCTTCAGCCCCCTAGTCCTGCCCTCTGAGAACAGAGAGCCAGCTGAACCCTTCAGCCCCCTTGTCATGCCCTCCGAGGTAAGTGAGGGGGAGGAGGTGTTTTCAGTGGGAGGCTCTTGGACTCCAGACCTGGAGATTAGCAGCTCCCAGCCACTGGAAGGTCAGAGAGACAAACTTCTCCACATGGACTCCCTTGACCCTCCCCAAAGGCCCTATGGAGACCTCTCGCCTCCCTGTTCAAGCTGGGTGGACACTGGCCTGGAAGTGTCCCTCTCAATGGATGAGGTATTATACCCAGCTCCAGAGGCAGTTAAGGAGGGATCTGGCGACTCTGAGTGGGTGGGTCCACTTCCTGCCAGCCCTGAAGAGGAGATTGATGTAGACTCACTGTCAGAGGGGATTGTACCTACGAGTATCCTCTCCGTGTGGCCTGACCCTTCCTCAGAGTCAGAAACAGAGGTAGATATACTAACGTAGTAGCAGAGCGGGGAGGTCGGGTCACAGGGACTGGGAGGGTGGGACATGCTAGCTAACAGAAGGCCCACCGATAGGCCAGCATATGTCCCTGTCCTCTTAGCACCAGAGGCAGGCATACCTGTAGTTCTCCTTCCCTCCCCAGTCTTTTGGAGCCAGGCACAAGTCATTCCATAGGTAGAAAATTATGAACTGGAATCCCCTTACTACTTCTATAATCTTGTCTACCAGTTAGTGACAAGTGAAACAACACGCTGTGTGGTCACCAACTCCAGTGGGTCACAGGGGACAGCCAAAGCCGGCTTCCCCAATCAGCAGGCATCTAATCACTAGTACCTGGGGTGTATGGCCTAAGTCACTGCCAGCATGGGAAGTGTGGCCCAAAGCTCCACAGGGCTGGGAAGATGTGCTGCACCATCACTTCTGAGAAGTGAGGTGAGAAAAATAGTTCCTTTTATTTCCTTTCCCCCCATAGTTTTTACAAGTATTTCCCATGCTCTAATAGGGACCATAGGAGACCCAGGTTAATTGGTGACCTCAAGCTATGAGGAACACAAGGACCAATCACAAAAGGCTGGCTTAAGGCACCCCTTCCTATATTAATAAATTTACTTCATGACTCAGGCTTTATATCAACTCAAATCCTTTTAATTTTTATTAAACCAAATCCAAGAACTTTTCAGTGTCTTACTAGAGGATTGCCTCACAACTGAACCATTGTTTCTGGAGGGAAGGAAACCACAGCTTCGGGGACATGACTGAAGTTTGACCATGTCCCGTCATAAATGCTCCAGCATCACCAGGGACAGAGGCTGTGAAAAGGACAAAGGGAAAGCGTTAGAGAAGGGATCCAGGTAATCCTAGCCAGCCCTCCACCACTGAACACACACACAGACCCAGGAGAGCTCAAGGGTTGCGTACACACACCCCGCCCCCACCTCACTCAACCTCAAGTGCCTGACAACATGCCAAAGCCTCGTCTGCAGCACTCAGGACAAAGACAGGGCTGGCTCCTGCGCCCAGGAGTGCGGCCACAGTTCTCTGCCTGCTCTAAGGACACAATTTGCATTCTCATGGTCACTTAAATTACCAACGGCATTCCACGCCTTGGCTCAGACTGGAATGAAACCTGAGGGCAGTAGCAAAGGGCACACTGACGAGGAAATCTTTTTGGCGGGGGGTTGGGGGCTGAGCAACTTCAGTTTTTCCCACCAGGAAAGAGGGGAAGAGGTGTTCCCACTAGAGGAAACCTCGAGAGCAGAGCGAGGTATGTAGATGTAGGTCCTGTGTGAAATCAGGAGTTTTAACAGGAAGGGCTGCTTCGCCAGCAGCCGCACCAGGATCAGCCCACTCCCCCCACCCCCCATTCGCCATCTCGAACCTCGGCGAGACGCCTTCTGCCCCACCTCCCTACGAAAGGTACTTCTTCAGCTCCTCCAGCACCACGTGAGGCTCCGGAAACTTGAGTTTGCGTGGGGGCCCCTTCTTAAGACCCGTCCAGAGCTCCGCGCCTGGGAAGAAAGGCCACGTGAAGCGCAACGGCTCTGGAACCCTGCAGCCGTTCCCCAAAGCCACCGGGAGGCGGCGGTCTGGAGGCCCGCGCTGCCCCGCCCGGAGTCCGGCCCGCACTCACTGCTGCCGTCGGCGCGCAGCAGCGTCACCTCGAAGCTGCCCCTCCGCGGCCTGGCGGGGTTCACCTTCACCGTCAGCTCCGGGGCCTGCAGGCGCAGCGCCTGGCTCAGAGCCGCGGCGTTGCGCCCATAGACGCGTCAGCTCGTGCTGCGGGGAGAGGGGCGAGGTCAGAGCCGGGCCCCGGCGTGCGGCGCCCTTGCCCTCGCGCGCCCCACCACACCCCGGGCCGCTCACCAGTGTTCGATGACGACGCTCGGCCCCTCCACTTCCCCATCCTGGCCGCCGGCCGGCTTCTCCCGTTTCTCGGCCGCTGCGGTCAGCGCCGTCTCGGCCTTCCGCTTCCTCCCGCGGGACGCCATGGCGCCTGGGGCCCGGCTGGGGACAGGACGCAGCCGCGGCCACCGGGTACAGCCCAGGCCGGCTCCGAGCGCCGAACCGCAGTCCAGGAACTCGGCTCCCGGCGCGAAACCTCTCAAGCGGCGGAAAGCGTGGCGCAGGGCGCACACGTGGTCCGGAGGCGGGGCCTCGGGCGTAGCCGCGCAGCGCGCAGAGGCGGGAAGTGCGGGGCGCCGCGCCCAACCACCCGGCTGGGGGGCCGGGTCGCTGTGAAAACAATCAAGTCTTCACGCAGGCTTTTCTGTAACCACGGCGCCAGCTTCAACGGTGTCCATCAGGACTGTTACCCAAAACTTCGCTCCTGGGACCCACGGCTCAGTCCCAGACCAAGTGTACAGCTTAACTCTGGGGTTAAGTAAACTTTGTTACGGGCGCAAGGTTTTCATTTGAAGCTTGGATTGTTTCCTAGTCTTTAAAGCCAAACCAGTATTGTATCTCCAGTTCATTTCGAGCTTCTCCCAAGTGAACTGCTTAGAGCTAACGACGGCAACCATTCAGAACCCCTCATTAACCAGCACGGATAGACACTGAGTAAACTCACCATGCTGTCTACAGGATCGACTTTCAGGTGGGATGGCAGGGTGTTAAGTGATATCAAGACCGTTTGAGGAACATTTTAAAATGCATGCAGAGGTTCTGAGATTTTGATGAGCCTAGCTATGTATTTGGGAAGATCCCCTGGAGAAAGGAAATGGCAACCCACTCCAGTATTCTTGCCAAGTCCGTCCCACGGACGGAGAAGCCTGGCACACTGGTCCACGGGGAAGCAAGAGTCGGGCGTGACCGGGCGACTAACACCGACCAAGGGGAGGCCCAAACCGCCTGCAGCTGTCCACAGTCCGGTGAACTCACCAGGATGGCCTTTGAAATGCAGAACACGAAAAAGTCCTCTGCAATTGCCTGGCTTTTCTAATGCACGAATCACACACAAAGGCACAATCAAAACTAATTATCAGTCTCTTTACTGTGCAAAACCATCAACTGGGTGTGGGGAGGGTGCAGCAGGGTTAAGTGAGCCCCGTCCAGGGGCTTTTTCCTCCAGGGCCCACCACACAAAGGAAGTCTCAAACTTCCATTCCCCTTCCTCCCAATCTTCATAAAATAGGTAGATTATTCAGTAATCTTCAAAGAGAAAAGTCTATGGTTAAAGGTTTTTCCCTTGGGACCAGTCACAGGCTTATACCTTTTTTTTTTTTAATACAGGCCACAGACTAAGCCAGAAGGGCCTAAAGAAGTAAGATTCCATGAAGGGAAAATCTCAGCACTAACTGCACCTTGGCCTGTTATGTTAGGGTTTAATCTAGTCTAAGTAGGCTGCGTGGCACCACTGTGAGGAATAATGAGACCAGAGCCTGATGGAGATGTCAGGCAGCACACAGCAGTTGATGCGCTGGCCCAGCTTGGAGGTTAAGACTTCTCCCTCCACCAGACAAGATCTTTCCCTCCTTCCAGTGAACAGCGGGCCACAACAGTGGGGCCTTCCTGGAGGGTACCTATCATCACCCTGGATGCCTCTTAAAAATCAGAAGCGATACCCTGCCCCAACTAGGCACAGCCAAACAGGGGAAACATAAATAAAAGGCCTGGGCCTCAGGCAAGGCTTGTGGTTACAGAAAGGGCAGAGCCTCCGAGGTGCCTGGGACTGAAGCAGGGATCCTATTTGTCCTTCTTGCTCTCCTCATCTGGCACAGCAGCAGGCCCCGTGGCCACAGGCTGCTCCTCGGGGATCCTATCTCCAGCCTTGGACAGCTTCTTGGCCCGCTGATAGAGCTCATTCAGGTTGAATTCTCGGATCACGTTCTCCTGTGCAAAAGGGACACACACATCAGGGTTGAAGTCGGAGGGGAAGAAGTGCAGCTGACCCTTCAACAGCGGTGTGGCTGGGGCACCAACCCTTCTGCAGTCAAAAATCCACCTGTAACTCATAGTCAGCCTTCCGTAACCACAGTCCCTCCCAATCTGTGGTTCCATGTGTGTGGACTCAACCAAGCACATGGATCGGTGCAGTACTGTAGTTTTTACTATTGCAAGTTATCCACACAAGCAGAGCCGCACAGTTCTGACTCATCTGTGAAAGGGTCAATTTTATTTACACAGTCTAGAAAGGGAGGAAGCAAAGGACAGGAATCTAACCCAGATCTCCTTTTTTTGGGTACCTGAAAAAGTCAATTAATATTTACCTATTATGTGCCAGTCACTGTGCCAAAAATTATAGCTACATTATTTAATGTAATCTGCAAAACAAAACCTGTAAGCTAAATGTTGCTCTCTCCAATTTACTGCCAAGGAAACAGACTATAAGGACAAAAGCCACCGAGACTGAATCTTAATTAATAATCGTTCCCTACTACTAGCATGTCTGGCACATGGTAGAATAATTTGCTGAATGAATCCATGAATGAGACTTAATCAATAGTTCACACTCTCAAAGCTTGTGGGCAAGTAGCAGAACTAGGAATCAAACCCAGGGCGGGCTCCAAACTGACCTCCTGTTCTACACCCTCCTGCAAACCACCTGCCCACTCACATACCTCTGAGAATGTCCAAGAGACAGCCCGGCCCTTCCTGTCGATCTGCGGCCGCCGCATGACCTCCTTCCCACCTTGGAACAGGATCAGGGTAGGAAGCTGCTTGGTGAGGGGTGACGTGCTCACTTTGTACCTGCAGGATCCAGAAGGTTCTCTGTAAGTGCATTTGCGTATATCCCCCCAAGCGATCCCCTGCCCAGGCCCTCACATACCGTGTACTAACATCCGTGTAGCGTCCAACGTCTACCTTCCCAAAATTCAGCCCTGTGCAGTTGTACCTGAGTGGAATGTGTTGTTTCACATGGCGAGAGAATGAATCAATGAAGCAGAGATACAGATATCTGAGGTTGGGGGCGGGAGTGCCTCTGGTCGCAGTGCGCAAAAACCAAGGCCGAACCAGTGAGAGAGAAGGGACGATGGCGACCACCCCTCCCTCTGTCCCACTCACTTGAGCGAGAGGTCAGCGTAGATAGGAGCAAATGACTGGCAGTCACTGGACCAGTTGGCGAAGAACTCCACGATCCAAGTGACCCTCTTGTCGCGCCCCAGCTCCTCCTGCCACAGAGAGGAGCGGAGACGTGGCTCACACAGGCTCCTGGAAGGCCGACTCTAGCACCGAAGTGCTCATCTCGGCTTCCCCACACCTCCGCAGACCCCGCCACGAGCCGCCGCGCCCTTGGTTCTCCTCTGGGGCCCACACCAACCAGGGCCCTTGACTCCCATTCTGAAGCACGGTTGTTCCTCTGAGCAGTGAGCGTAATGACAAAATCCCCACGGGGCCCAAGGAAGAGGGAAGAGGGCTACTCACATCAATGGCTTTGTCACTGAAGTACTTGATGTACTCAGGGCCCATGTACAAGGGGGGTTTGCATGTCATCAAGAACACTGAACACAGAAAAAGGACATCACAGGTGTTACCTACAGAGTGGCACTTGCCATCTACCTCTGTAAGGCTTAAGTCATGTGCGCCCGCAGCTGCCGACCTTCAACACCCGCTGAAGGAGCTCAGGGTGGAGAGCAGACGTGAGGCGCCCTATGCTCAGGGAAAAACTGGCAGGACAGGTCTTCCCATAGTTAATATTCTCAGGAGCTGATTTTATGAGCCCAATTTGTGTATCTTCTCATATCTAGAAAATCCTTCATGGTGACAACGGTTTCTTGTGACTGGCAGAAAGCTTCGTGAGACCAGCACACACTTTTTAGAAAAAATACATGCTGACTGCAGGTACTGCCCCTTCGCCAAAATCACACGTATACTGTCCTCTCCTCCTGCCTCTCTGCAGCGGTCTCTTAGAGCTAACTGAGGTGCTATCTCCCAGCGTGCACTCCTTGCTGTGCCCCAATTAAAACTTAACTTGCAGCTCTCATGTTGTGCATTTTAAAGTCAACACAGGAAACACATAAGGCCTTGAGTAGGGGATTTACTTTCAAACCAACCTAAAGATTTCAAGTACCAAAGAGTACACTTTGTAGACAAACATAGACACATTCCCTTCCTTTTAAACTACAGTCTCTGTAGGTTCTTCTCATCTGAGCCTCACACAATTAATGAGGTATAAGCTATGGAAGATGGGTATGGAGAACCTGGTTTGGTGCTTGAGTTTGGTTCCCACAACCAAGTCTTGCACTCTCCTTACCTATGCAGAGTGTGATGTAAAGCAGGCCCATACGAATATCCAGGCGGAAGAAAAGAATTGCATTGGCCACCTTACTGAACATGAAGATGTTGCCTATGTGCTGTTCCACGGTTACTGAAACACAGAAGTGTCAGGTCAGGCTGGGCTGCGTGCTCCCATGTTCTACTATTTGTCCCTCTCCTTGGAATACTTTGAAACGGGAGAGGGGGAAGGGGATAAAAGTCTAAGGTCAAATTCAGCCTTGGCACAGAATGAGGGACAAGTTCACCAAATAATGCCCCCTCGTAACATGAGTGAAAGACTCCAGAGGTCGTTGGTCCAAACCGTGAGAGCCTGAGACAGGAAATGACACTCACTGGACCTGCGGTTCTTCATCATCACGATGGCGCTGAGAAACATCAGGATCTCCACTTCTCTCTGCAACAGAATCAGAGCGTCAGGAATGCCATGAACGGAAATGACTGCGGTGACCAAGGGAGCCAAATATGTGAGAAAAACCAACAGAAAAAAACTAACAAAGATGCAAACTGGGAACAGTAACAGTAGAGAAATAACTGGACTCAGCTAAGGAGCAGTGTGGGCTTCCCAGGTGGCGCTAGTGGTAAACCACCCACCTGCCAATGCAGGAGGCACAAGAGAGGCAGGTTTAATCCCTGGGTGGGGACGATCCCCTGGAGGAGGGCATGGCAGCCCACTCCAGTATTCTTGCCTGGAGAATCCCATGGACAGAGAAGCCTGGCGGGCTACAGTCCATAGGGTCGCAAAGAGTTGGACATGACTGAAGTGACTTAGCAGGCACAAGGGGTAGTGGGGAAAACACCAGTCAGAAGACCCAGGTTCCAATTCTACCCCTACCACAAACTGCTTGTTGCCTTTCAGCAAAGCACTTAACGTGGGAGCACGGGCTCCCCTGACTGAGGACTGAAGAAGAAAAGAAGTATGAAAGAGTTACATAGAGTGTATGGTGTCAAACTGTAAGATACCACAATCAACTCAGTGTGACCCGGTAAAATGAAACTTTTCCAGGTAAACTTTCTCAATCATATCCATCAATACAACAGACGGTTATTCCATTTGTTTGGTTTTAAGTTAAAACATTCCTCTCCATCTAATATTCACAGTGATAATCCATGCACCCTGAATAAATTTGAAGGCTGAAGGAGTCCTTTCAAACCTCTCAAAGGTACTTTTCAGTACCACTAGTTTACTGTCCTCTCTCACCTTCTAGAAGATAAGTTCCATGTAAGTTAAGTGAGACAGACAATAAAAATGACAAGACACAAACGAGGTAACTTCAGAGTGAAGACTGCAAAGATGAGTAACAAGGACTTTGTGAGAGACTGCACAGGGGAGGGCTCTCTGGAGACTGGAGGGTTTGAGGCTTTCCTTTCTCTTAGTCATGCAGGATCCAAATCGTTTCAGACAGAACCAATTAACTGCGATTTACGGCCAGCAATCAGGGACCTACGTTTTTAGCCTCAATCTCCAACAAAAAGCAACTGACTAGATTTAGAAAAGGACATCGAAAGTTGGGGGGGGGGGGGTTGCGGGGCGGGTAGGGAATATGACAAACCTTACTAAATTTCTGAATAGAAATTAGGAAGAGTTTTCAGCATTAAAAAATACCATTTCGTGGTATTTGGTCCCATCACTTCATGGCAAGTAGGAAGAGAAAAAGTAGAAGCAGTGAAAGATTTTATTTTTCTGGGCTTCAAAATCACTGTGGATGATTCCTGCAACCATGAAATTAAAAGACAGTTGCTCCTTGGAAGGAAAGCTATGACCAACTTAGACAGCATATTAAAAAGCAAACACATTTTGCCAACAAAGTTCTGTATACTTAAAGCTATGGTTTTTCCAGCAGTGATGTACAGATGTGAGAGCTGGATCATGAAGAACGCTGAGCGCTAAAAGAATTTGTGCTTTCAAATTGTGGTGCTGGAGAAGACTTTTGATAGACCTTTAGACTGCAATGAGATCAAACCAGTCAATCCTAAAGGAAATCAACCCTGAATATTCACTGGAAAGACTGAACTAAAGCTGAAGCTCCAATACTTTGGCCACTGACATGAAGAGCTGACTCATTGGAAAAGACTCTGATGCTGGAAAAGATTGAAGGCAACATGAGAAGGCGGTGACAGAGGTTTAGATAGCATGACTAACTGAATGGACATGAATTTGAGCAAACTTCAGGAGATAGTGGAGGACAAACGGTCCTGGTGTGCTGCAGTCCATGGGTCACAAAAAGTCAGACGTAGCAACTGAACAAAAGCAAAATGGGGAAATTGAGTAAATTCTTGTATACAGAGTTATTTATACCAATTCAAGCCCCTTAAATATAAGGTCTTATAATGTTATAATCATTTTAAGAATTAAAATCAATCATGTATATAAATAATCTGTCATAATACTTGCTTTATGACTCTCCTTAAATGCATTTTCTTTTTCTCTTCATCTGCCTCTTAGATTACAGATACATTCACATAGATAAAATTGTAAAATAAGAAATAATTATGCTTGTTAATCTTAAAATACTTTGATAACAGTAAAGTTTAATGATAAATTATAAATATGTGTATGATAAATTATAAATATATGTGTGTATATATATGATTTATATAATTATAAAGCTAAGCCAGTTGGCCAGGGATAAAATACTAGTTCCTCCAGTTCTCAAGTGTGTGGCGTTGAATAATTCCTTTAAATATTTTGCATCGCCATTTCCTCATCTTAAAACTAGTATGACAGTTCTTTCCTTAGTTGCTACCTGTTAATTACTCACAAAATTAACTGGCAAATATTAAGCTTTCAGTAAATGTTTGCTCTTGTTATCAGGTAGACTTCTCTTGCCCAGGTGGGAAAAATCAGTTCACATTCTACACTGTAGACGTGACTTTCTTGAAGGTGGTGAATGAGACTCTCTTCCCATAAACCTTAAAAGACATTCTTGAATTACCTACTTTATAAATAAAGCAGCAAATAGTAAGTGACTTCCGTGGGCATATATCTTTGAGGAAACATTTTGTCTCAGAGAAGGAGAAGTTCTGTATCAAAACAAATGTTTTATCGTAGTACAAAATATGAAGGAAATAATCCAGTTTTAAAGTGCCACCAGTTTATCATAGCCAGGACATGGAAGCAACCTAGATGCCCATCAGCAGACGAATGGATAAGGAAGCTGTGGTACATATACACCATGGAATATTACTCAGCCATTAAAAAGAATTCATTTGAATCAGTTCTAATGAGATGGATGAAACTGGAGCCCATTATACAGAGAGAAGTAAGCCAGAAAGATAAAGACCATTACAGTATACTAACACATATATATGGAATTTAGAAAGATGGTAACGATAACCCTATATGCAAAACAGAAAAAGAGACACAGATGTATAGAACAGACTTTTGGACTCTGTGGGAGAAGGCGAGGGTGGGATGTTTCAAGAGAACAGCATCGAAACATGTATATTATCTAGGATGAAACAGATCACCAGCCCAGGTTGGATGCATGAGACAAGTGCTCGGACCTGGTGCACTGGGAAGACCCAGAGGGATCGGGCGGAGAGGGAGGTGGGAGGGGGGATCGGGATGGGGAACATATGTAAATCCATGGCTGATTCATGTCAATGTATGACAAAACCCACTACAATATTGTAAAGTAATTAGCCTCCAACTAATAATAAAAAAATAAAGAAAGAAAGAAAGAAAGAAATTAGGAAGAGTTTTCAAGAATGAAACTGGCTTTAAAAGTGGCTTTTATAATTATGCAAAGATGATTTAAAGAGAATTATGCCCAATCAGGAGACCAAAGACAGGACTACAAGGAATATACTCTAAAGACAGAGAATGGGTCTGTGGTAAAGACCAGCCACGTATACTCCAGACCTTACTTCCTTTTCCTCCTGGACATTCTGCATCTAGGGAGGTCTGTGTGACCAGCACTCCAGCTCACACGCGCTATGAGCAGAAGTGGCGCACCACTTCTGTGCCCAGGCAGTTAAAGAAAGGGGATGCACATCCTTGCAGGACAGCTTTCTTTCTCCCCCTGCTGGCATGATACTAGGACGATCTCAGGGCAATCAGGAGAAGACAGGACGAGACTGGGTTCCAGAATAACTGCATAAACAAGAGCTCCCTTGGTTGTTTGCTTGTTTATTCACTGTTTCAAACTTCCTTTTTTTAAAAAATAATTTTATCTGTATTTGTTTTTGGCTGTGCTGGGTCTCTGTTGCTAGGTGAGCTTTTCCCTCATTGGGATGAACAGGCTGCTCACTGCAGTGGCCTCCCTCGTCATGGAGCACAGGCTCTAGGGCACGTGGGCTTCAGTAAATGCCACAAGTGGGCTCAGTGGGTGCGGCCCCCAGGCTCCAGAGCAAAGGCTCAGTAGCTGTGCGCACCGACTGAGCTGCTCCACAGCAAGTGGAATCCTCCCTGACCGGGGATCGAACCTGTGTCTCTTGCACTGACAGGTGGATTCTGAGTAACCAGCGTAGCCCTGTTTCAAACTGTTTATTAAGGAAGTTTTCAAACATACACCAAATCAGAGAGGATACTGAAGGGTGGCAGTATATGCCACTCCCAAGTATGCCATTTTGGCATAAGGATTATTTTGAGTCTAAAGACAACTAATGAGAAGTAGAATAAAGAAAAGCTCCATCCCCTTCCCTTACATGTCTAAGAGTAGGACAAAAATTTACCTTCTCTACCAAGGAAAAAACTAATCAGGAAGATAACTTTAGATGCTATCAGCCTGGAGATAGCACCAGAGTGAGCTATGTAACAAACGAGGCTTTATCTACCATTAGTTTACCTTTCCAATTTTTGTCTCCTGCAAACCTGAAACTCTTTCTGTCTTCATCCTGTCATTTCTCCACAAATTTATGTTCTTTGTTGAAGATGCCATATAAGCTGGAATTCTAAGCCTCTTTGTCACTGGTTTTTCCCTGGGTATGTCCCATGTACACAAGTTACAAATGTTAATAAATTTGTTTCTATTTTAACTGACTTAATCTTTTACTACAGTAGTCTCAAGCAAGACTTCAGAAGGGTAAAGGGAAAATTATTTTGCACCTCCTACAATACCTTAGTAAACCCCTAATACTCAGTTTCAATAGTAATATTTTGCCAGTATGGCCAAAGATTTTATCTACGCTACCCATTTCTTTTGCTGGAGAAACTTAAAAGCAAATTGCAACTGTATTATTTCAACTGTAAAGATTTCAGTACATGTGCCTTACAGATAAGAACTTCTTTCTTAAAACAAACTAAAACACCATTATCATATCTAACAAAATTAACACTACTTCCTTGTTGTTATCTAATACTTGGCCCTTACTCAAATTCAAAGGTTGTGGGTGCATGTGCTTACTCACTTGAGTCCTGTCTGACTCTTTGCAACCCCATGTACTGAATCCTGCCAGGCTCCTCTGTCCTTGGGATTTCCCAGGCAAGAATACTGGAATGGGTTGTCATTTCCTTCTCCAGGAGATCTTACCAACACAGGGATCGAGCCCACGTCTCTGCACTGGCAAGTAGATTCTTTATTGCTGAGCCACCAGGGAAGTCACACCCATGCTAACACTATTCGCCTTAATATTGTAACTTCAAGTCACCAGGGTAAATGAGTAAAACACAGATTTTCCAGAAAACAGTTACAAGTACTACATAGTTTAAAAAAAAAAAAAAGAGTAAAAAGGAAACATAAATTCTTACAATATTTTGCATATAATTAGGGAAGCGTACACAGAGAAATTAATTGCATAAAAAGTCCCTTTTATAAAATCTTTATTTCTGTCCACTTATATGTTTGAGTCTTATTTTGGTTAAAATGAGATAGATAAAAATAGGATCTTTTGAAGAAGATGGCTACATCTGAGCTAATTAATAACATTGGGAAAGGATAGAGTATGAAAAACTGTGGGATGAAGAATAAAAGTAAGGACGCAGGTTCTGTTTAAGATCAACACTCATTTCGGGCTTTCAAAAAAAAAGACAAAACTCAGGTGACTGTCTTTCCTCAAAACATGTATATGGCTATCCAGCAGAAGGCAGAGAGCTTCAACTTATTTTACACCTTTTTTTTTTTTTTTTGCCTCAAAACAAGCAGAATCTTAATTCCCTGACCAGAGATGGAACCCAGGCCCCTGCAAGAAGTGCAGAATCTTAACCACTGGACCACCAGGGAAGCCCCTCAAGTTATTTTTCTGAGTGGTCCTTCCACTCCAGCTCAGGAAGGACTGCAAGAGGCTTGAGATAGATTTCTTTACAACGTACTTTTTTTACAATTCTATTTCAGTACGCCGAACAGTTTTATTTATTTTTACATCCCCAGTATGCGGCACAGGACCCAGCACACAGTCCTCCCTCTGAGACTGTTAATTTTAAGGAAAGACTGTGTGCTGTTTACCATGGCCTAAGAGTGGTTGCAAATCCTCGTCGCTCACTAGTTGTGTGACCTTGGACGAGTGTCCTAACCACGCCAAGATCAGTTTCTTCATCAATAAAACGAGAATACTACAAATACAACTTGCCTCGTACAACTCACCGGTTCCTCAACAGGCTTTACATAACGAGCAACACGAAGACAGTGCGGGTGCCCAGTTTGGGGAGGATTCTTGTCGAGCATGGACTGGGAGGTGGGAAGGAGCTTGGACTCAAAAGGCAGAAAGCTCAGACTGTTCGGCGAGTTAACCGGCCGCTTTCTCACCCTAAACAAGAGGTTTAGGCTTGATGACAACCCACGCCCTACACTTAGTAACTGTCTGTCAACTCCGCTAAGAGGCTCGGAACCTGAGGCGTTCTCAAAACGGTCAGCCTCGGGGCTCCCGACGGCGACCACCAGGGCGGGGACAGTCAAGGTCGTGGGGTCCTGAGGCGGGGGTCGCTCACCCAGTCAAAGTCACACGGGTTGCCGTCTTCGCGTTGCGTGGGGAGACTTTCGCAGACAGGGGGCAGCTTCCTCACGAGTAGGAAGGCAGCAGACAGCAGGGCTGACAAAAAGTAGTAAGGTCGGGCCAGCCATCGTGAAAGTCGCGGGACCGAATACACGAGAGCAATCAAAGGCGCGAGGACCGCCATCTTTCCGGCCCCCCGAGGCGCCGGCCGCTCTCTTCGGCTTCCGTAGGTCTGGTCCCGCCTCTCTCACCATTGAAGGTTTCCATTGGGCCGAGTGTCAGATACCCCGCCTCTGGGCCCGGAACTAGATCTCTGATTGGCCCCTACGGCACCTACGGAAAGTGAGAAAGGGATTTGATATGCTATTGGCTAACCTAGCTGTCGTTTTTTCTACCTAAGTCATTTCATTGGTTAAGCGATTGCGGCGAGCGGAAGCCTCGCAGAATAAAGTTAAGGAGTATTTCCGGGACGTTCTCAGAAGGCGACGGAAGTACTTGCCGGAAGAAGGTAGGCAGGGCTAGAGGCAGTCCAATGGTAAACGGCTCCTGGAGGAAAAGGGCGGTACCCCGTGAAAAGATTAGCCAATGAGGATCATTAACGCCAGACACCGGGACGGCGCCGGGGCGGAGGGGACGATGGAGAATTTCACGGCGCTGTTCGGAGCCCAGGCTGACCCGCCACCTCCGCCAGCGGCACTTGGCTTCGGACCCGGGAAGCCGCCCCCTCCGCCGCCGCCGCCGCCGGGCGGGGGGCCGGGTCCGGCCCCGCCCTCGACCGCAACCTCGGCCCCTCCCGGGAGCGACAAGTCGGCGGCAGGCTGCGGCCCCTTCTACCTAATGAGGGAGCTTCCAGGTGAGTGCGAGGCCCGGCCGAAGCCGGCCAATCAGATCGCCGCGAGATGGGGCTGGGCGTGGCTCCTAGCCGCCGAGGGAGGTGAGGGGTAGCCCGTAGGGCGCTTGCGGGTATTTCGGAGCTCCGTGTCGGAAAGGCCTGAGAATTTACGGCCAAAGGCACGACAGGAATTCTCGGGATGGACTGGTAATGAGAAGAATGGGTCGCCGTGGCCGCCTTTCACGTTCCGCCCTGCCTCTGACCCTAACGGTGGTTTTATAACTCCCAAAAAATTACTCCCTGGTGGTTCAGACGGTAAAGAATCCGTCTGTAATGCAGGAGACCTGGGCTTGATCCCTCAGGCGGGAAGGTCTCCTGGAGAAAGGAAAGGCTACCCACTCCAGTATCCCTGCTTGAAAAATTCCATGGACGGAGGAGCCCGGCGGGCTACAGTCGATGGGGTCGCAGAGAGTCGGACACGACTGAGCGGCTTGAGTTTGGAATTTGAGAGTCCTGATTTAACATTCTTGCGGACCTAGTTCCAAATCTGCTTCCGAATTCCTGTTGGTTTGGTGCATGTTGCCTTCCTTTTTTCTCTGAGCCTGGTCCTTTCCTCATCTCTTGAAACAAGTGAATAGAATTTATCCAGATTCTTTCATTCAGAAAATTATTTCGTTGAGCACCTACTCTGTGTACCAAGGGGTATTGTACATACTGAAGATACAGCTGTGAAAAACGCTGACAAGATCCTTGCCTGTTTGGGAGTTTACGTGCCCATGGAGGAGGCAAAAGGTAACAGGGTGAAATCACATAGCAGTTATGGCTGTAAGGGGGGAAAAAATGTGATAAAGATTTAAGGGAGTGGAACTGCTTTAGCTAGAGTGATCAGAGAAGCTCTCTCTGAGTAGGTGACTTTAGAGTGAGTTAAAATGTAAGCTCAGAGAAAGAGCTAGCCATTTATGAGTGGGAGGGGGGATAACTGGATACAAAAAAAAAAAAAAATTGAAATCAATAGCCCCAATGTGAGAAAAATTTTGTAAGGTTTGAGGGACAGAAGATCAGTTGGACTCCAGTGAAGTGAAGGGAGGAGTGATAGGAGATAAAGTGAGAGTGGTAGGCCGAGGCCTGTATTAGACATTTAGATTTTAGCATGTTATTGACCAGAAGCATGTCAGTACATTTTTTAGAGAGTGAAACCATTAACATCACCGTGGGAAGCTGTTAGAGCTTAAAATTGATCAAGGATTCATTATACAACGTATGATTGACATTATCATTCACATTTTGCTCTGTTAGGTGTTTATTCCAATCTTGTGTACCTTATAAACATAAGTTTATTTTCATAAAATTTAAAAAAATGACACATCATGAAGTTTTGAGTGAAGGAAATTTTTTCAGTGAATTTTATGCAGATACTTTCTCTTATTGTCCGAGCAGCATATTTACTAGTGTCTCAGAAGATGTTAGTTGTTCTGAATATAGTTCTGATTCATACAATGGGACTATTAGAGCAACAAAGAGACAAAAAACCTTAGTGATTGTTTTCTGATATGGAAAGTGAAAATGAAACTCATGGTGCTGAAGAAGACTTTACAGGTGTGTCAGCTGTGACTATTGAATGTAATAATGCAAAGTAGGTAGTGAAATAGCTGAATTAATTATTGCCTTCTTTTCTGCAAAAATCCCCTTTTCAGTAACGTTACTACTTAGTGGTCCAGGAAAGTGGTGGTTTGGACTAGGCGATAGCAATGAAGGAAAGAAATAAATGGATGCAGGATAAATGTTAGAGGTAGAACTGACAGGAATGAGGGATTGAATATAGAAGTGGAGGAGAGAGGAATTGAGGATTATTTCTAATTTTTGGCTGAATAACAGGGTCAGGAAAGAACAAGTTTGAGGAGGTGGAAATCAAGAGTCATTTTAGACATATTAGTCTCGAGGACATCTTTCAGTTCATCCCACATCCATAGCTTTGACTGTACGGACATTTATCGGCAAAATGATGTCTCTGCTTTTTTAAAATGCTGTCTAGGTTTGTCATAACTTTCCATTCAAAAAGTAAACATCTTTTAATTTCATGGCTGCAGTCACCATCTGCAGTGATTTTGGAGCCCAAGAAAATAGTCTGTTTCTGCCTCCACTTTTTCGCCTTCTATTTGCCATGAAGTGATGGGACCTGATGCCATGATCTTAGTTTTCTGAATGTTGAGTTTTAAGCTAGCCTTTTCACTCTCTTTCACCCTGATCAAGAGGCTCTGTGGTTCCTGTTCACTTTCTGCCATTAGAGGGGTGTCATCTATCTGAGGTTGTTGCTCTTTATCCCAGCAGTCTTGATCCCAGCTAGTGATGTTTCAGTAAGACGTTTATATGTTCAACCACGAATGCAAGTCAAAGGAATTTGAGCTTTTTACTGAGGGAATGGGAAACCATTAAGATTTTTGAACTGAGTACCCCTTCTAAAGATATCTGGAGAATACAGGTGCCATGGACTAAAATAAAGGAACCATGAGTGAGGTGGGGAGATTTGTTGGAATTTAAAAAAAAAAAAAAAATCGAGGGAATTCCCTGACAGTCCAGTGGTTAGAGTGCCATACTTTTTCTGCAAGGGGTTTGATCAGGGAACTACAATCACATAAGCCTCCTGGTGCAGCCAAAAAGAAAAAGGAAAGAAAGAAAACTGAATCTGCAATGAATTAATTAAGAGAGTGTTGGAAATGGAAGATTAGTTTTCAGGAGTGGAGTCAGGAATGAGGAGAGAGATTTATAAATCATCTTCATAGAACTGATGGGCAAAACGGAACATTGGATGGACTCTTTTAGGTTAAAGAATTAAGAAAAACCACAAAGTGGGGAAAAACAGAAGGAGACAGTGCCGATATGAGAAGTACTGGGTCCCTGAGCCTCCTGCCATTACATGGACCACTCTTCAGAGACAGCTGGCGTGGAAGACAAGGGAATAGAATAGGGTTAGGCCTGTCAATAGGAAAAATACCTTGTTCATTTAATGTTTATTGAGCACCAGTGACACATGAATGAACAAGGCATTTTTCTCAGCCCTCAGTGGGCTGATAGCTCAGAAGCTGAGTTTTCTCAAGTGAATGATTATAAACAAGTCACTTTTGTCATTTGTACCCTGAGTGTTCATCATAACTAGACTATGAGATTGTAGGTTAGATATTTCTACCCTCACCACTGGACCCTGGTTAAATTACTAAGAGGAGAGTGGGAAAACTGGCTTGAAACTCAACGTTCAAAAAAACTAAGATTGTGGCATCCAGTCCTATCACTCCAGGGCAAATAGAAGGGGAAAGAGTGGAAGCAGTGACAAATTTTATTTTCCTGACCTCCAAAATCACTGCAGATGGTGACTGCAGCCATGAAATTAAAAGGTGCTTGCTCCTTGGAAGGACAGCTACTGCAAACCTAGGCAACATACCAAAAAGCAGAGACATCACTTTGCTGACAAAGGTCCGTCTAGTCAAAGCTGTGGTTTTTCCAGCAGTTATGTGTGGATGTGAGTTGGATGTAAAGAAGGCTGAGCACCAAAGAATTGATGCTTTTGAACTGTGGTGTTGGAGAAGACTCTTGAGAGTCCCTTGGACTGCAAGGAGATCAAACCAGTCAATCCTGAAGGAAATGAGTCCTGAATGTTCATTGGAAGGAGTGATGCTAAAGCTGAAGCTTTACTAATACTGAAGCTCCAGTACGCATCCACCTGATACGAAGAGCCAACTCGTTGGAAAAGACCCTGATGCTAGGGAAAGATTGAAGGCACAAGGAAAAGAGGGCGGCAGAGGATGAGATAGTTGCATAGCATCACTGACTCAATGGACATGAGTCTGAGCAAACTCCAGGAGATAGTGAAGGACAGGGAAGAAGCCTGGCATGCTGTGGTCCATGGGGTCTCCAAGAGTCAGACATGACCTAGTGACTGAACAGCAACAACAGCAGTTCTTTGAAAAAAGTCAGCCATGAAATGTTTATACTGATGATGCCTTCCACTTACATACTTTATGCTTTTCAATATGTTTTATTTTAACCTTGAAAAAAAATTAAGTGTAATCATGATAGCTTTTACTGCATTCTCTAGATATGTAGAAACAGGCATATAAGGGATTACAATTTTAGTTGCCCAACTTCTAATTAAACGTTTCTTTCTTCTAGGCAGAGCTATCATATTTGGTATTACAAGAAAAGTAAAAGTGAAGGTGGTGGTAATGAAAGTTACCAGCAGTAGCTAGAAACATCTGTTTTTCTCTGTAAAGGTGACTGGAGTTTCTTGCTAGTTTAAAAAAGGAAGCAATACACTCACACCACTGGGTTATAGTCGGCCTTAAGCTTGGTTGTAGCTGAGCTGTGAGGTTATATTATTCTGGTCACAGCCAAAAGTATAATTTCTCGTTAGCATATTGATGAAACACAGAGCAGTGTTTAGCACAGATTATAAGCACCGTATATGTTATTACTCTGGTTAGACAGTGTCTGCTTCATTGGGTTAAAGTGGTTTCCACCGCTGCCCTATTTGGATTTTTGCCTGTTTTTTCTCCTCATTCCAACCTTCCATTCTATATTACAGAATTTTTAGTGTCTGTTGTATGTTATTATTTACTCTTGCTATTTCTTACTCAAAAATAACTTCTTTTTTGGTAATTCTAACTTAAAAGATTCCTTATTTAGGTTAAAATATGGTCTTTTACTTCCCTTCTAGGTCAGTGAATTTAAAAAAAATTCTGTATTCTTGGAAAAGACCCTGATGCTGGGAAAGATTGAGGGCAGGAGAAGAAGGCGGCAGAGGATGAGGTGGTTGGATGGCATCAGCGACTGAGTGGACGTTAATTTGAGCAAACTCCGGGAGACAGTGAAGGACAGGGGTCGCAGAGTCAGACGCGACTGAGCGGCTACACAGCAGCTCTTGGAACTAATTCTTCTCCTTCCTCTTCTCCGTGTCCTCTAGGCAGCACCGAGCTGACAGGCAGCACCAACCTGATCACACACTACAACCTGGAGCATGCCTATAATAAATTCTGTGGGAAGAAGGTGAAGGAGAAGCTAAGTAACTTCCTGCCTGACCTGCCGGGCATGATTGATCTGCCTGGTTCCCATGACAACAGCAGCCTGCGCTCCCTCATCGAGAAGCCCCCCATCCTTGGGGGCTCTTTCAATCCCATCACAGGGACCATGCTGGCTGGCTTCCGCCTGCACACCGGCCCGGTGCGTGCCCTCCTGGGGAGGAGGGGGCCAGGGGGGAAGCCCGAAGCCTTCGCAGTGGTGTTCCTCCTGGGTCTGTCCCTCCCTAACGTACTGCACGGAGCAGATGATGGGAACACAGCGGGTGATGGGAAGGGGGGTTTCCGCCCGCTGCTCACCCAGCCCTTCCTTTGGCTCCTTCAGTTGCCAGAGCAGTGCCGCCTGATGCATATTCAGCCACCCAAGAAGAAGAATAAGCAGAAGCACAAACAGAGCCGCACCCAGGACCCCGTCCCCCCAGGTAAGAAGCCGTTCTTTTCCCAGACAGGAAGCCGTGTGCTCTGAATCTGGTTTGACCTTCCTGAGTTAAAAGCTCAGTTAAGTTCATCATGAGCCCTGGACTCCCCGCTTCTCCTTAGAGAAGAAGCTGACATAAGCGGCCTCCCTAGGCAGGTGGGAACTCGGGCCAGGGCTTCAGCGGTGCCTCTGAACTGTCCTGGTCACGAGCACAGAAGTGGTGGCCCCCGACTAGGGGTTATCGTCGCATCCGAGTTCTGGCGGAGCAGAATTTGGGGCCCGACCTGTGACGGGCACCTCGTATCTCCCACAGAGACGCCGTCTGATTCAGATCACAAGAAGAAGAAAAAGAAAAAGGAAGAGGACCCTGAGCGGAAGAGGAAGAAGAAGGAGAAGAAGAAGAAGAAGGTATGGTGGCAGCCCATGCAGGCAGCCCGAGTCCCCGTCTCACCCGGGCCCTCGGGAGAGCCGCCTCCTCTTCTCTGCCCTCCTTTCCTTCCAGAACCGACACAGCCCGGAGCACCCTGGGATGGGCAGCTCTCAGGCCAGCAGCAGCAGCAGCCTCCGCTAAGAGGCCGGCGGACCCTGCTAGGACTTCGCTGCTGGGCCGGAGCCGGCCCGGGTCAGCGCCTGGGCGCCCAGGCAGAAGCCGCTCCGCCGGAGGAGCCGAAAGGGAGATGGGCCGGGCTCCCGGCGGCCTCCGCCTGGCTCCCTTCCTCACGGGACACCTCTTACCTTCCCTGGAAGCTTTCTGTTCACCTCTTGTGTGCAGTTTGTCTGATGTAGGACTTGGTCTGGTTTGTTAGGATTTTTGTTCTCTTAAAATTGCATTTATCAAACTGGCTGAAGTGTGGCTGCCTTTGAGGAGGTAAGTGCCTTTCCGTGGGAGTCAGGGCGTAAGCCAAGGTGTGCTGAGGTCTGAGGGGGCTCGGACCTTGCGTGACACTGTCTCCTCAGCAGGCGGGGCAGCCAGGGAGCAGGGTCCAGAAGTGGATACCTTTCTGCCCCAGGCACGTTAACGCCCTGCCCCTAAGGTTGCCAGCCATTGCCTGGTGGATGACCTTCCTGCTTATGGCCCAGCTGTGTCCTAGGTCAGTTTCGTGTGGACTCCATCGGTAGCCGATGGAGAAAGCACCCACGGTCAGAAGTGAATTTCAGCAAGGTTGCTTCTTGGTCAACCCTGTGGTTTTTTAAAAAAAATAAATTTCTGGCAAGCAAAGGTAAATAGTTCTCTTTATAATAAGAACTACTTTTGATCTTCCTCATTCCTTAAGACAGTGAAATTATTGGCTGATGTGACTGCCTATCTAAACTTCTAAGACAGCAAAAAAAAAAAAAAAGGCAGCCTGAAGTAGCCAACTCAGTAGAAAAGATGCCGATGCTGGGAAAGATTGAGGGCAAGAGAAGGGACCAGCAGATGAATGGCATCACTGACTCGTGGATGTGAGTTTGAGCAAATGCTGGGAGAGAGTGGAGGACAGGAAGTGTGGTGTGCTACAGCTCAAGGGGTTGCAGAGAGTCGGATACGACTGAGCAGGTGAACAATGGAACCGGCACAACTGAAGTAAATCCTGCAGCAGGCAGGTCCAGAAACCACGAGAAAACCCCGCTGACAGCAGCTTGACCTAAGCCCAGTGTGACATGGCTGAAGTCTGTTGGTGTGAGCCAGGGTTAACCTAGACCAGCAGACGGAAAACCACTCATTCCACTCGCGTTAACCTAGGGTTTCAGAGTGAGGGTTTAGACTTCACTTGCAGACAGGAAAATAAAGGGCTCTGGCCAGCTTTCTGAGATGAGGGTCTAAGGGTGCCTGTTTAAATGAGGACACAGCCTTTTGCTTTCGAAAGAAGAGATGGCATGAGATGTCACACTGCCCCATACGTCCCTTTCATGCTGTGATCATCCACTGGCTCACCTCTGGCTGCATCCAAAAGGAGCTTTACTATCCAGAGAAAATTATGTTAAGGGATTGTAGGCAAAAGTCAAGAGCTGTCTAGACTCTGAAATGACAAGAGTTTTGTCGTTACAAGAAATCACTTAACTAAAAACAGGATCTCTTTTGTCTCAAGTGGTTCTCTTCCCCATAGTCCTGCTTACAGATGGGCCTGGACCAGAGACGCGTAGGAGGTCGTCTTTGTAACTTCCCATTAGGGATCAGTCACCCTACCTTAAGCACACAAAATAACACAAGTCAGGGGGGCTGGTTAGATCAGGATTTCTTTTTATTCCTTGTTGGTTTAAAATGGCTAATCAGAATAAAAAATAAAAGGGCCTCTGTCTAGAGCCTGGGGTTGCCCCTATTTTTGAAGGTGAGAACCCAGGTATCCCATCTACCCAGCACCATACTGAGGTGGGCAGAGGGGGACCCCCAAGGAACAGCTGGAGGGGCCTCGGCCTGCCGCTCCTTTTCTTAATCCTGTTTTTGGCATGTGATGAGAAATATTGCTTTTTGGATTCTTCTTTCCCGGCCTTGGGTTTAAAAATAATGTTAACCGTGTGAACAGGGGAGGAGGGCTTTGAGGGGCCCGCTGGAGAGGCCCGCTCTGCTCCCTCTCCCCCAAGAAGGGGGGTTACCCCAATATTGTTGCTGGAGCTCTGCCAAGCCCTTCTCCTGACCGCCCCCTCCCTGCACGCACCAGTCACAGGGCTTAGGCGCCCTCCCCAGGGGAGACTTAAGTGCTGCTGAGCCTGAAAACAACTCTCCTCTCCAAGCCCTCCTCTGACAGACCCCACCCCGACTCCCCCCAGCTGTCTTTCCTGACCACACAGCAGCAACAGCGCAGGGTGCTGTGTCCCTAGATGGTAACTGGGACCCAGAGCAGGAACCACGGGGAAGAGGGAGACTTCAGTGGCGTCTGCTCTCCTCCTGCTGGTCTGAGAGGCAGGAAGAGTAAGGGCCCCCTCACTCATCTCCCTCCCTCATCTTCCCATCCCAGGATAGATATATAATTTCTTTGATATTTATAATATATATATATATATATATATGTACACACACACCTGGTAACGCAGAAGAGGAAAAAAATAGAATCCGTAACAATAATAAAAAAAATTATTTCTGGTTTAAAAATGATCTGGTTCCCTCCAGGGCGAGCAATTGCACAATTGTCCACTGAGGCTGGTCCAGGGGGTGAGGGGGGCAGGGTCTTGAAAGGTGGAGGGGGGATGCTACCCCAGTCTTGGGGCCCAACTCTCCCACCCCCCAGCCCCCTGCACTTCATGAAACGCCCCTCTTCTCAGAATCGGCGGTTTACACGTCCATGCAGGGGAGGGCCCCTGGAGGAGGGAGGCGGCCCGGGGGCCCTTTGGTGCAGGCGCAGAGGCGGCCCAGGGTCACACCGAGATCTCGTAGGTGGTGCCCCCCACCCCCGACACCTTCTTGACGCCGCCCCTCGTGGGGCTGCTGAGAGGTGGCTGGCCCGGGCCGGGGGCGGCTGAGCCTATGCTCTTGGGCTGTCCGTTGGATTTGCTGTAGGCGGTCTTGAGCTGTACTTCATCTCTGGGAAGGAAAGGAGAGGGGTCAGCGTGGGACACGACACAGCAAAGGGACGCACTTTAAAACAGGCTGAGAGAAAATGTCTCCTCTACACACGCCTTTCTTACGCAAACACCCCCTTCATCTTACTGTCCTGCTGACAAACAGCCTGCTTCCCTCTCCCCACTATTTATTGCTTCTCTCAAGCAGCAGCCACTGTTCAGTTCCTCCCAGGCAAACAAACTGCTTTTTAAGGAGACAAGACTAAGGGAAACGTCCTCTCCTTAGTCTCAACAGGTGAGGCCCAGGAAGGCAGGCAGAGGACGAGGGAAAAGGCCGGGCTCTCCCTGGGCAGGGCGCCCCGGGGCCGCGCGCTGGAAGGCACCCGGGGGCCGCCTGAAGGCAGGTTCGGGGGCCAGGACGTGGACACTTACTTGGGCGTCAGTAATGGCTGCAAGGCCACTTCCTCAGTCTCGGTGACACCAGGGGGGGCTTTCTGGCTGCTGTAAGACACGGAGCGGCCCAGGTAGGGGGCGGGCGGGCCTGGTTCAGGGGATGCGAGTCCCCGGCCCCTCAGCCCATCCGGCTTGCCGAACCGGGGGGCCGCTGGGCGTGCCAGCGGCGCCTTGCCCAGGGGCGAGCGCTTGGAGTCGTCGGAGGAGGAGCTGGTGCGGGGCGCGTGGCCTGAACCGGGCGTGCACTGGACGCCCGAGTCCCCCAGGCCAGGCTCCTCCTCGCGGCCGGGCGGCGGTGGCGGCGACTGGCGCAGCAGCTTCTCGCGTTCCTGCAGGGAGGCCACGATGTGGCGCGACAGGTTGTCGTAGCGGACAGGCGAGGGCTCACGGGGTGCTGGGCCGCCGGGCGCCAGGCGGGGGTGCCGCTCGGCCTCCCGCTGCTGGGCCAGCCGGGCCGACAGGAAGGGAGACGTGTAGCCCAGAGGTGGCTCTGGCTCCGGGCCCGCCTGCACAGACTCGAAATCGGGGCTGTCGGAGGGCGTGAGCAGGCTGTCATAGGACAGGCTCCCGTTTCGTGTCTGGTTGGCCAGGCTCTTATAGGAGGTGGAGGTTGTGCCCTCGGAGCGGATGGACTGCAGCTGGCCCAGCTCGAAGCCCGTGCCTTGGGCAGACTTGAGGCTGGAGGACCGCGAGCCGCTGGACAGCGGGTCAAAGGGGAAGCCTTTGCCGAAGGTGGGCGAACGGAAGCTCTCGGGCTCCAGACTTGGCTCCGAGCGGTAGCTGGGATGGCGGCTGCTCTCTGCGATGGAGGTCGGCTCCTTCAGGCTGTCCCCACGACTCAGCTGAGGGAGAAAGCAGAGCCGGCTCTCAGCCACCCCTCCCTCGACACTTGAGGCCCCGGAGCCCAAGGAGTCTGTCAGAATCGGTGTGTGTCATGCGCCAGCAACATGCTTAGAGTTCACCTGTGTTCTCTCATTCAACCTGAGGCTCATCTCTGATTAGGAACAAATAACCTCTCATTGTAAGACGCAGGGAATGAGGCGCAGAGAGGTTAAGGAACTTCTCTGTGACAGTGGAGCTGTTTTGAACTCAGAGCTGAGGCTGTCCGCAGTGCCCCTCTGGGGTGAGGGACACACGTCAGGGAGACTCGGTACCACTAGTGCCAACACGGAGCAAACGCCTGTGGTTTTCTCTCCCTGCGGTGCTTCCTGCCCTCCTCCTGTCCCCGTGTTCCCAGGGCAGGTGGCCTACATTCCAGCCCTACTTCCTGGGGAGTGCTCAGTACCTTGGCGCTGGACGAATGCGGCATGGCGGCTGACGCGCTGCTGCTGCTGTAGCCCGGCCGGTACTTGTACATGGTGGGCGTGGGGGGACTGTCCTTCCCCAACAGGCTGCTCTCTGCAGGAAAGAGGCCCAGGGGCACCACCTCATAAGCCTCTCCCTTAACTTGGTTACAGCTGCTTAAAGTACAGGGGAGATAAGGTAGGCACAGATATACCGCGCAAAAGGGAAGGCCCAGGAACATACATGAGTTGGCTGAAATGAAGACTAGAGACTCAGACCAGCCCAGAACCGACAGTGAGTGAGCGCAGAGACCCTGGGACACACTCCAGTCTGTCCAGAGGCTGGCGGTACGTGGATGGCCCTGTCACGGCCCGCGCTCAGTGGAACCCCCTCCCGCTGTCTGCAGAAGTGGCTCAAGCAACGCTTGAGTTTTCTCAGTCACAACACAGCGGCCTCCCCCAGCCCTTGCCATCTCTGCAGTGATCTCACTCCTGCCGCACTCACCCTCGTTAGTGGCCAGGCTGAGGTGTGTCCGTAGCCCTGTGTAACGGCTCAGGTCCGGCTTAGGCGGGGGTGGCGGCTCCGCATCTGCTGACTGGCTTTCTGTTACCTCCAGGCTGCCTTTAGACTGGAGAAATGAGGCAGAAAGGAGCGTCAGGGCGACTGGAAGTATGAAACTGGGGGGCGGGGGGGTGCGTCATCATGTGCTTCTCAACTAGGCAAGGAGAAGCCAGTCACTCTGGGGATGGTGCTGGAGAGAGAGGTTTTCCTCAGCAAGGCTTTCATTCTGTCATTCATTTCCAGCAACAACTACTTGTTGAGCTCCTACCATCCATAATCTCTATGTTAAGTCCTGGGAGGACAAGCGAAGGAATGGACTCAGTCTTCTACTGTTAATGAACTTAAAATGTAATGGGAGAAGTTACGTATCTAAGTAACTTTACGACAAACCAGAAAGTGGTAACTACATTAAGAGATTTAAACAAAGCAAGCTTCCACCTCTGCCATGGATGCGGCTCCCCAAGGTACCTGGAGTCACTTCCCTGCACTCCCACCTCAGTCTCCTCGGCTCCGCCTGGACGCCATGGGGGCAGCTCCCCGAGGTACCCAGCGTCACTTCCCTGCACTCCCACCTCAGTCTCCTCAGCAGTCCCTGGACGCCATGGGGGCAGCTCCCTGAGGTACCCGGCGTTACCCCCTGCACCCCTACCTTAGTCCTCCTCAGCTCACCCTGGACACCATGGGGGCAGCTCCCTGAGGTACCCGGCGTCACTTCCCTGCACTCCCACCTCAGTCTCCTCGGCTCCCCCTGGACGCCATGGGGGCAGCTCCCCAAGGTACCTGGAGTCACTTCCCTGCACTCCCACCTCAGTCTCCTCGGCTCCGCCTGGACGCCATGGGGGCAGCTCCTTGAGGTACCCGGCGTTACCCCCTGCACCCCTACCTTAGTCCTCCTCAGCTCACCCTGGACGCCATGGGGGCAGCTCCTTGAGGTACCCGGCGTTACCCCCTGCACCCCTACCTTAGTCCTCCTCAGCTCACCCTGGACGCCATGGGGGCAGCTCCCTGAGGTACCTGGCGTCACTTCCCTGCACTCCCACCTCAGTCTCCTCGGCTCCCCCTGGACGCCATGGGGGCAGCTCCCCGAGGTACCCAGCGTCACTTCCCTGCACTCCCACCTCAGTCTCCTCAGCAGTCCCTGGACGCCATGGGGGCAGCTCCCTGAGGTACCCAGCGTCACTTCCCTGCACTCCCACCTCAGTCTCCTCAGCAGTCCCTGGACGCCGTGGGGGCAGCTCCCTGAGGTACCCGGCGTTACCCCCTGCACCCCTACCTTAGTCCTCCTCAGCTCACCCTGGACGCCATGGGGGCAGCTCCCTGAGGTACCCGGCGTCACTTCCATGCACTCCCACCTCAGTCTCCTCGGCTCCCCCTGGACGCCATGGGGGCAGCTCCCCGAGGTACCCAGCGTCACTTCCCTGCACTCCCACCTCAGTCTCCTCAGCAATCCCTGGACGCCATGGGGGCAGCTCCCCGAGGTACCCAGCGTCACTTCCCTGCACTCCCACCTCAGTCTCCTCAGCAGTCCCTGGACGCCATGGGGGCAGCTCCCTGAGGTACCCGGCGTTACCCCCTGCACCCCTACCTTAGTCCTCCTCAGCTCACCCTGGACGCCATGGGGGCAGCTCCCTGAGGTACCCGGCGTCACTTCCCTGCACTCCCACCTCAGTCTCCTCAGCTCCCCCTGGACGCCATGGGGGCAGCTCCCCGAGGTACCCAGCGTCACTTCCCTGCACTCCCACCTCAGTCTCCTCAGCAATCCCTGGACGCCATGGGGGCAGCTCCCCGAGGTACCCAGCGTCACTTCCCTGCACTCCCACCTCAGTCTCCTCAGCAGTCCCTGGACGCCATGGGGGCAGCTCCCTGAGGTACCCGGCGTTACCCCCTGCACCCCTACCTTAGTCCTCCTCAGCTCACCCTGGACGCCATGGGGGCAGCTCCCTGAGGTACCCGGCGTCACTTCCCTGCACTCCCACCTCAGTCTCCTCGGCTCCCCCTGGACGCCATGGGGGCAGCTCCCCGAGGTACCCAGCGTCACTTCCCTGCACTCCCACCTCAGTCTCCTCGGCTCCGCCTGGACGCCATGGGGGCAGCTCCCCGAGGTACCCAGCGTCACTTCCCTGCACTCCCACCTCAGTCTCCTCAGCAGTCCCTGGACGCCATGGGGGCAGCTCCCTGAGGTACCTGGCTTTACCCCCTGCACCCCTACCTTAGTCCTCCTCAGCTCACCCTGGACGCCATGGGGGCAGCTCCCTGAGGTACCTGGCGTCACTTCCCTGCACTCCCACCTCAGTCTCCTCGGCTCCCCCTGGACGCCATGGGGGCAGCTCCACGAGGTACCCAGCGTCACTTCCCTGCACTCCCACCTCAGTCTCCTCAGCAGTCCCTGGACGCCATGGGGGCAGCTCCCCGAGGTACCCAGCGTCACTTCCCTGCACTCCCACCTCAGTCTCCTCAGCAGTCCCTGGACGCCATGGGGGCAGCTCCCTGAGGTACCCGGCGTTACCCCCTGCACCCCTACCTTAGTCCTCCTCAGCTCACCCTGGACGCCATGGGGGCAGCTCCCTGAGGTACCCGGCGTCACTTCCCTGCACTCCCACCTCAGTCTCCTCGGCTCCCCCGGACGCCATGGGGGCAGCTCCCCGAGGTACCCAGCGTCACTTCCCTGCACTCCCACCTCAGTCTCCTCAGCAGTCCCTGGACGCCATGGGGGCAGCTCCCTGAGGTACCCGGCGTTACCCCCTGCACCCCTACCTTAGTCCTCCTCAGCTCACCCTGGACGCCATGGGGGCAGCTCCCTGAGGTACCCGGCGTCACTTCCCTGCACTCCCACCTCAGTCTCCTCGGCTCCCCCGGACGCCATGGGGGCAGCTCCCCGAGGTACCCAGCGTCACTTCCCTGCACTCCCACCTCAGTCTCCTCAGCAGTCCCTGGACGCCATGGGGGCAGCTCCCTGAGGTACCCGGCGTTACCCCCTGCACCCCTACCTTAGTCCTCCTCAGCTCACCCTGGACGCCATGGGGGCAGCTCCCTGAGGTACCCGGCGTCACTTCCCTGCACTCCCACCTCAGTCTCCTCGGCTCCCCCTGGACGCCATGGGGGCAGCTCCCCGAGGTACCCAGCGTCACTTCCCTGCACTCCCACCTCAGTCTCCTCAGCAGTCCCTGGACGCCATGGGGGCAGCTCCCTGAGGTACCCGGCATTACCCCCTGCACCCCTACCTTAGTCCTCCTCAGCTCACCCTGGACGCCATGGGGGCAGCTCCCCGAGGTACCCGGCGTCACTTCCCTGCACTCCCACCTCAGTCTCCTCGGCTCCCCCTGGACACCATGGGGGCAGCTCCCCGAGGTACCCAGCGTCACTTCCCTGCACTCCCACCTCAGTCTCCTCAGCAGTCCCTGGACGCCATGGGGGCAGCTCCCTGAGGTACCCGGCTTTACCCCCTGCACCCCTACCTTAGTCCTCCTCAGCTCACCCTGGACACCATGGGGGCAGCTCCCTGAGGTACCTGGCGTCACTTCCCTGCACTCCCACCTCAGTCTCCTCGCCTCCCCCTGGACGCCATGGGGGCAGCTCCCCGAGGTACCCAGCGTCACTTCCCTGCACTCCCACCTCAGTCTCCTCAGCAGTCCCTGGACGCCATGGGGGCAGTTCCCTGAGGTACCCGGCGTTACCCCCTGCACCCCTACCTTAGTCCTCCTCAGCTCCCCCTGGATGCCATTGTCCATAATCTTCACGGTTATCTGGCCATCTGACACTTCGGGTCGAAGGAAGGGTGGTCTGATGACAATTGTCTTCTCTTTCTTTGGTCTCCCCAAATACCTGAGTGTCAAGAGTGAGAGGGCTTTTATTCAGTCATTCAAAACTATCTACTGGCTGCCTACCCTGTGGAAAGCACTTTTACAGATAGAAGAAAACAGTCCTAGCAGGCCAGGGAAAGACCAGCATGAACTAATTTCTTCGATTCTATGAAGTACAAGACCGAAAGCAAGGCCAGGCCTCTGGGCAGACACACCCAGCTCGAGGCACTCTGGAATAAATCTCATCCTCGCCTCTCCAAAGGGAGTACCACCTAAAGAATGCACTATGGAGAAGGAAATGGCAACCCACTCCAGTAATCTTGCCTGGAAAACCCCATGGACAGAGGAGCCTGGCAGGCTACAGTCCATGGGATCACGAGAGTCAGACACAATTTAGCGACTAAACCATCCACCACTACAAAGTGAATATATGCCTAAAGATAATGTGTGAAAAGGATATTTGCCATATACTAGCTAGTTTTTTGGTGAGAGGGTGGGAGTCAAGGAAGACTTGAGGTTATTTTTTCATCAACTTCCATTTTATACTTATTTATAATGGCCATTATTTTTACTAATACTATAAAACTATGAAAATGAATAAAATACTAAAAGTTTCATATAAAAAAAAATAAAGAATGCACTAAACTCACAGGGTCTGAAGGTCGGCACTTCAGCACTCCCCATTCTAGGAGAACCCACGCTAAAGGCAGCCCCCCACCCCAGAACCAACCCAAAGAAGACGGGCGTGTGTGACCGAGGGTGAGTGCTGAAGCATGGGGTAGGCGTACCTGGGTGCTGGGGAGCTGCAGAGAACACGGCTGACGTTGTTACAGCAGCCATTGGTGAAGGGGTTCACACCTCCCCGGAACTTCCCCGTAACCTGGACAGAGGGAAAAAGGACCAAATCAGTCGAAGACAAGGGGACCATGACCTCCAGAAGCCTAAACACCCACCGGTGACAACTTACTGTGCACCCACTACCTGGGAGGTATAAAAATGAGTAACGCACAATCCTGCTGTAAAGAAGCACGTGTCTGTGGTGACTGCGAATGGGAACTCAGGTCAGGGTCATCAGTTCAATTTCTGGGTCTACCTCACGGTACTGTCTGACCCTAAACATCAGTTTCTTTATCGAAAGTGGGGATCTCTATGTAAGAGGAAGCAAATAAGGGTTAGCTGCTATTATGTGCAGGAAACTAACTACAAGCTTCCTGAGGGCTGGCCCAGGTCTTTACTGTTTCTATCGGCTCAGAGCCCAAGTCGTCCGGTACCAAGGACACAGTCTATAAATGCTTATTAACTAAGACATGGCCTGTTCTCATGCTTACATGAGGAACGTGGACACCTCATCACAAAAAGTACACACTAATCCCGGGGCCGAGAGACAGAAGCCCGCTTTCCCGTCACGGCCTCCCATCACGTCTCCTCCTACCTGTTCATTGGTGGTGCGTCCCCTGGCCACCAGCACCACGTGGAACCCCGTGAGGCCAGCGACCGGGATGAAGAACAAGCCAGCCACACACATCACGGCCATCCTGAAGCCAGCGGTCAAGGAGAGCAGAGCCCTGCGGCCTGGCCCGCCCTGGCCCCTGCTGCGGGCCCCCACCGCCACGGGCCGCCACCTGCTCCCTGCCCCGCCCCCGCCCCGCAGGCCCCGAAGGATACGTGACAGCCGTACGGACCCCGGAGAGCTCCTCCAGGTGGTAGAGGACGTAGAGGAGGCCGAAGCCAAACACACCCGTGATGTGGGCCGTCAGGGAGAGCAGGAAGAGGAAGAAGTAACGGTAGTTCCGGCGTCCGATGCAGTTGTTCACCCAGGGGCAGTGGTGGTCGAACTCCTGTGGGCGAACAAGGCAGGCTGGGGCCACGCATGACACCACTTCCGCCAACAACAGCAAAACTAAACGCCACTTTTAGCAATGTGTGATCATGTTCACCATTTAGTTGCAAAATATAACAACAGATTCCTGCAGTTTATCTATCAATCTGTAGGGCTTCCCAGGTGGGAAAGAATGGTAAAGAACCCGCTGGCCAAGACAGCAGACGCAAGAGACATGGGTTCCATCCCTGGGGCGGGAAGGTCCCCTGGAGAAGGAAATGGCAACCCGCTCCAGTGTTCTTGCCTGGAGCATCCCATGGACAGAGCCTGGGAGGCTACAGTTCAAAGGGTTGCACAGAGTCGGACACAAATGAAGTGACTTAAGACATCAATCTGTAACAAAGACCTTCCAGAGGTTGATCAAAGGCCAAGGCCATCTCTCAGTTTATCCTACGTGACCAAGGAACTCTGACAGGGACAAATGTCAGAGGCTTTCAAATACATTAAGATTTTTCTTTTTTAAAAAAGAGGCTTGGAAAGAAAATCTAGTAGGCAACTGCTTATAGCTAAGTAAAAATGGACTGGGAAAAGGGTTAAAAATAAAAGACAAGGAATGCAGAAGGACAGAAAGATAAATATAATTGTACAATTTGTTCTGTGTGTTTTTAATTTGAAAAGTGCACGTTTATTTTTTAATTTTTCTCCGCGTATAGTCGCCTTCCCATGCTGGGTCAGCTCCCGCTGTACACAACGCGCACCAGCTGTGTGTACGCACGGACCCTCATTCACAGCCCTGCCGCTGAGGTCGCCGCAGAGCACCGGGCAGAGCTCCCCGTGCTGCATGGTGCGTCCTCACCGGCTACCTGTGGTGAGACGTGAGCTCAGCAGCGTGACAGTGTGAGAGACAGAGAGAGCGCCGACCAGGACAAGTAACCCAGAAGCTGGGCTGGGTGTGGGAGAGCCTGCGCCTGCCCACCCGGGGACCCTCCCGCAACAGGACACGCACATGCCACCTCTCACACGTACATCGCTGCCAGCACTCTGGCAGAGCGAGAACAGCCCCGGGAGCCGGCCACAGCCCAGAGCCCACAGGACTTGGCCCTGATTCCGCGGGCAGGCCACCGTGTCCCGCCGGCGCTCACCTCCACACAGTTGTCACAGACGCTGCAGTGGGAGCAGCGGGGAGGCCGGTAGAAGCGGCAGGTGGCACACCACTTCATGCGCACCTGGATGCCCTTGATCTCCACGGTTTTGTAAAGGGGCGCCCGGAAGTCGTCTTCTTTGTCTTCATCCTCTTCAGCTGCAGAGAGGAGAAGTTCCTGAGAACACGGCTGTGCTGCCGCTGCACTAGGCACCGGGGACGCCCTGATGTGCCTTCAGGGAATGCGGCCTAATGGCGAGGGAGACTAGGGACCAGTAGTTCTGATGCTGCGAGATCAGCTCTTTATACAACACCATGGAAATGAGGAAGTAATTTATTCTACACCGGGGAAAGCGGTTCAGGAGGATGACTCAGAGGCGGTTCTGATATGGATAGGCTGAGATTCTTGGTTTACATATTATGAGTATATTTCAAAAGAAATAGATGATTTACATATCAAAGTACATATATAATGAGTCTGCATAACAGTTCAATATCTACAAGTAGATGACTGAACTACAACGACCCAAATGGGGAGAAACGAGCCACACGAAGCTCCTCTCCACGCACAGAGCCCTCGGCCAGCGGTCTCCCCTGGCCCCCTGTACATGTCGGTGCTGCTTCCTGGTCCCAGACAGTCTCCTTACCTGGGTGCCCTTTCAATTGTCAGCCATCAGAAACTCGCACAGCAGAAAGCAATACCACACTATAGATCAACTATGAAAAAAAACTCACCACCCCAAGTGATGGTGAAGTTTTCAAATTTACTGAGTAAGGGAAATGCTAACAACATAACTAAGTGAAAAAGTACAAGGTAAAGAACTGTACAAACTAAAAGATCCCATTTTGAAAACAAAAACAGATATGCATATATGTGCTACAGGTGCGTGGTGTGTATAAACACTATATGTATAAATCTTCAAAAGAGTGACTGAAAGGAAAAATATGACAATATAACTAGTTATCTCTGGGCTGTGAAATTACAGGTGACATTCATCTATTTTGTGGGATTCCCTTGTGGCTTAGCTGGTAAAGAATCCGCCTGCAATGTGGGAGACCTGGGTTCAATCCCTGGGCTGGGAAGATCCCCTGGAGAAGGGAAAGGCTGCCCACTCCATTATTCTCGATAAGGTAACTGGCACATTTAAGAGAAAAATTAGACGTCGTCATCAACAACAACCGTCAGCATCAATTTCTCTTTCTACCTTATTCCACCAATGCTGGTCCTCACTCTTGCCTTCTATTCCAGAAACAGCCTAGCTCTGTGAGCATCACCCTTCCAACCAGGAGAGGACAGCATCTCCTCCTCCGGGTCACTCAATTAACCGCTTTCCTCAACTTCAGTTTCTCTCTATTCTCTGGTTCTACCTCCTCATGCTACCGACACACTAATGCCTTCTGTATCAAGAAATAAACGAGACCCTTCCCTCTCACCTAAGACACTACACCTTCTGCCTTCTCTGCTTAACTTCTTGAAAGAATAACCTTAATCCTCACGGACACTGCTCCCTCATTTCCCATTCACTGCCTTCCGAAACACTGCAGTTTTGGTAATTTAACTGTCTCTCTCCCACATATATAAACACACGATTAAAACTGTTCTTGTTGGGAATTCCCCAGTGGTTCAGTGGTCAGGACTCAGCGCTTTCGCTGCTGGGGCTTGAGTTCAATCCCTGGTCAGGGAACTAAGATCATGGAAGCTGCACAGCAGGACCAAAAAATAAAGAATCCTGTGTGTGTGCTGTATTTTTTTTTTGGTCATGCCATGAAGCTCTGTGATCTTAGTTTCCCAACCAGGGACCGACCCCGTGCCCCCTACAGTGGACACACAGTGTCTTAACTACTGAACAAAAGGGACATCTCGAACAAATTCTTATTAAGATCACTAATTTCTTAGTTACTAAAACAATGGGCAACTTGGAGTTTCCACACTACTGAACTTAATTTCTGATGCCACCAACCATCAGCTATCTCATGAACTTCCCTTAGCCCCCACTTTGTCCAGTTTCTCCTCCTCCTTTCTTTTCTTGCTCAGTCCCTCCTCAATAGCTCCTTCTCCTCTGCTCATTATTAATCAAGGCTGGTCAGTTTGACACCCGTTCTTTCCTAACCTCATTCTACTTTCTCTAGACAAGCTCACTCCTGCTGCTGACAAAACTGCATGGCTGAGGGCTCTGCCATGAGCCTCACTACTGAGTTGCCACTGGGTAACTGCACCTGAGCGACCCATTGAAGTGAAGTGAAAGTCGCTCAGTCGTGTCCGACTCTTTGCAATCCCATGGACTATACAGTTCATGGAATTCTCCAGGCCAGAATACTGGAGTGGGTAGCCTTTCCCTTCTCCAGGGGATCTTCCCAACCCAGCAATGGAATTGGGGTCTCCTGCTTTGTAGGCGGATCCCTTACCAACTGAGCTATGAGGGAAGCCAGAACGATCCATTGAGTATCTCAAATTCAGCGTGTCTGAGATGCTTTGTTTTGCCTCCAAAACTGCTCAGCATTCCTGTAACCTGGGTCTTAGTTCATAAGAACCAGTGTCCAACCTTCTTTTAAGTCAGGAGCAGTGGGACCACCCTAGACAACTGCTTTACCCTCTCACTCTCACCTAACAAGCGATTAGTCATGAAAAATTCTCCTGGGTCTAAATTTCTAAATCCAGCTTTGAATTCAAGTTCATCTGGTTTGCATTATTGCAATAACCTCCCAAAAGGTATCTATCTGTTCTTACAAGAATTACTTTCGTGAAAGGAAATCTGATCCTGTGATTCCTCCAGTTCAAGACCTCTTGCTGTCCAAAGGAAGAAGTGTAATCTGTGTAATACACAGTCTTTCACACTTGTCTCTGGTTTACCTTTGCCCCCTGCCCGACCCGGCACTGTCTCCCACCCACCGCACTCTGTTTCCTGGTCACTGTTCAGTCACATGCGGCTTCCTCTGCCTACAGTGCCCACCCCACCCATGCTCCACTTGGGAAGGTCTTCCCTCCTGCCCTCCAGCAGCATTTCCCCCATTTACCTGGGCAGGGTAAGTGCACCCTTCCCAAGGTCCCACAGAACCTTGTTCATGCTTCCATTACAGGTTGTATCACACTGTTACTCTCTGATTCATCTTAGATATTATCAAAGATAGCAATAATGCCCAACCCATACGCCTGAAATAAATTTCTGCTGAATGAGTAACTGAAAACCAGAATTGACCCAAAGTGGATCACAGGCCTAAAAGTTATAAAACCCTGACGTGCTTTTCACCATTAGACTACAGGAGCATCCCAAAATGCTAGATCCCAAAGGCCCCAGACCAATCGTGTATGCCAAAACTCATTTTTCTCAAAGGCAGTTCCGAGAGAGAAGAGGGAGCTCTTACCTCGAGGGAAGATCCCTGGGTCCATGAAGGTGGCCATGCTGAAGTTGGCCAGCACAAAGAGAAACACCACCGCATTGTAGACGGGCACTGCAGGCGACACGGACAGGCTCAGTCCCGGACAGCTGCACAGACGACAAACACAGTGAGGGGCTGCCGCAACACTCGGGACAGCGACCGTGTAAAAGTGTAGGTGTGCGCGCCCCACACCTACATACACATCTCCTGTGGCTCACCTTTGCTGTCTCAAATTATCTTCATCCTCCCCAACAAGTGGGTCTAGTTTCCCAGGGAAATGCTCATTTTCGATCAAGGTACAAGACTCATACGCCCTTGCACCGAAGTCTGTGTTCTTCAAATTCATTCTTACCCTGTGGATTGCCACGTGTCATGGCCTCTGTCCTGACCACCTCTTAACCAGGTCCAGGAGCGGGGACTAAGAATGTAATCAACACCAGCTGCAGTCTTGCTCTGGGACATCCCGAGGCCCCTGGACCTCTGGACCTCAGCCATGCCCCACTGACCCACACGCTGGCCCAGAGCAGGGGACAACACCTGTCTCTCTGGCTCCAAATCACTCGCCACTGCTTAGAGCTTCTTCAGATCCATTACAGATACAAACATTCATCAAATACTTCACAGAATTTTATTCAACTAGAGGCTAGTTCTCAGGGTAAACAAAGGGAACCACTCATAGATACGGAAGGATACCAAAACCCTGAGATCAATCAATGAAGCAGAAGAGTGGAAGAGAAAAAAGAGAGAGAGAGAGAGAACATATCAGACCAAAGTGGCCATAAATCCTCCAGGGAAAAGAAACTGGCCACACGTATCAAGTATTCCAGAGTTCAAACCACGAGAAGGCTTTAGGGAACTTCTTGATACCGAGAGTGAGCTGGGCCCTCAGCTTCTGTCAGGACAGACATCTTAGGAATGCAGCCCACTCGCCCTTTCCCTGAGGATGGTTCCTGCTAGTGTCAGGAGAACAGCTGATGAGCTGCCTGCGGGGTCCCTGGTATCAAACACCCTCTCTTCCGGCTTAGCTCAGAAGAACTTCCCACTACAAGACAGTTGCTAAACACCCTAATCTGCTCTGTGGCTGAGAACTTAATCTCCAGAATTAGGCCAGCATCTGTTCTTGTCCCCCTTCACCCAGACCAGCCGGAAGGAGAGGAAGCGTTTGCTGAAGGAAAGAGATGCCAGCAGAACAAGACAGCAACTGACCTGGGAGAAGTAATCCACGCAGGCGTGGATTCTGCTGAGAGCGGACCTGTCTCCATCCAAACAATAAGCACAGCCCTGAGCGGTGATTCAAGACGTTCAAAGAACAGAGCTCCTCAGTGAGGAACAAGCTAATGACAGGGCTTCCCTGGTGGCTCAGCAGTAAAGACTCTGCCTGCAAATGCAGGAGACGCGGGCTCGACCCCTGGCTGACAACGTCCCCTGGAGAGGGACATGCCAAACCTTACTCCAGTATGCTTGCCTAGGAAAATCCCATGGACAGAGGGGCCTGGCGGGCTACAGCCCAGGAGGTTGCAAAAGACTCGGATGCAACAGAGTGACTGAACAACACAGCGACAAACTAACCATAAGAGGCCAAACTGTCACAAAGCGTCTCCCAAGCCTTTACTACCACCAGCTATTTATTCAAATTCCATTTAGCCAATCATTAAAAAAAGATTGAAGTAAATATTCACAATGCAAGGCTTTTTTGCATAGTAATTATCAGTTAACTCCGCCTCTCTTGATGGGCCAGTACCTAACTGGGAGACAAAACCATGAAGCTAGGGCAAAGGCACTGATTTCAAGGAAAAACAGACCTCCAGTCATGGCTCTAGTTTTATTCTGCCTAAGTCTTCTACGGAAGCCTCTTCCTCTGGGGGCTGATTCAAAAAAACTGACCCCACACCTTGGCAGGGCTTGGGGTGGAATATACAAGCAAGAAGGCAGAGTCTTCACCCAGCCCCACCCAAAGCGTGACCTCCTAGGTCCTCGGAGGGAGGGAGAGAAACTGAAAACCAGTCATCCAGGTCAGAGCCCCTCCCTGCTTCTGAGCTGTCACTTCAATTTCCGCCCAGGGAAGAGGAGAAAGGGTGACTCACTTGACTCCTACAGCCTGGGAAGATAATTAGAAGGGAAAAAGGAATTGAATCCTTAGAACACTGAGGTCTCTGTGATTTAAAAGTCTCATTCCTAGAACTGGCTACTGTGGCCTCTGGAGCTTCAGGAAATGTAAGGGTCCCTCCATCTCTGAGTGAAACTACGCTGACCAAGAAGGACACATCGGCCCCCTCACTAATGTCAACCTTTCCGACCCCATCCTGTCCTCAGTTTCCGCATTTCCAAACAAAGCAAATCACTCCATTTCTTGGATATCCTGCCAACAACCTGCCCCTGGATAATGAACTTTACCCCTTACAACCTTCTGAATATCAACCCCTTCCAGCTGAAGTGTGTGACTCTAGAATAAAGTTCTCATCTCTGTTCCAAAATAAAAAATAAAAGTTCCAAAATAAAGCCAATCCCCACTGTGGCAAGTATCTAGAAAAGATGCAAATAACTCCACGGCATGGGCGAGCCTTGCTCCTAGATTCAAATCAAAGACTACTGCTTCCAACCTGAGCACTCCAAGCTGGGTACATCCCACCAAGGAGAGGCCTCGAGGGCGGGGCCTGCCTCTGCCATACCCCACACGCTGCCTGGCCCCAGGGAGCTTGCCATCGCTACAGTACTTTGCCAGATTCCTAGCTGACCCCCCAAGTGGCCTGTCTCAATCTGCTGCCTGGCTGGGAGGAGGCGAGGCCTGAGCCGAGGAGCTGTTGAGGCTCGTCCTCCGCCAACGGCGGTAATCAAAGAGCTCCGAGCGCAGGGAGTGGCGTCGCGCAGAAGGCCGGCTGACTCACGGGTGAGACTCCCAGACCTACACCACCCCAGGGAGAACAGGTTCTTCTGCCCGCCGCTCCAGCACTCCTGTTTCCAAAGCCAAATAAAATTGGGAGCTGCTGCTGCTGCTAAGTCAATTCAGTCATGTCCGACTCTGTGCGACCCCATAGACAGCAGCCCACCAGGCTCCTCCGTCCCTGGGATTCTCCAGGCAAGAATACTAGAGTGGGTTGCCATTTCCTTCTCCAAAATTGGAAGAGTGGATTTCAATACTCACAATACTGAAAATCTGTCCCCGGCCCTAACTCTTCCTGTTACATATCTATGTATACATGTAAAATTAAACTCCTGGCGAGAAAACTAAACTAGGAGTCAAGAAGCTTTGGACTTCAACCCTGTCTTCATCAGCGCTCTGCTACTGGAGCCTTAGGTACTTTACAGGGAACTGCAAGCTTGTTACGTCAGCTGCATCACACAGATAAGAGAATGAAAGAGACAGTGTCTGAGAAGAGCTTACGATTCCTTTTAAAATAGCTGGCTTAATATGAGCATTCACAAGATAGAACAAACAAAAAAAACATTATTAACCACCTCCATCATCATCAATTATCATTCCAGCCTCACCTCCCTCCCTAACTGCACTTCCTAGGTACCAGATTCAAGAACACAACAGAGGTATTTGCTCCTAAAGGACAGGTCTATGCATTCCTGCCATGCATAGCACCTACTCTGAGTGTATGCGGGAGTGTTCCTTGGTGATGAGGCAAGCCTAGAAAGAACATCCCACTTATTGCCCCAGGGGATCCTCAAGATTCCACGAGAAAACAATCCCTTCCCTTCTAGGTGGGTAAATTTCTCATGAAACACTGGATTTGTCCTGTCTTCTCCAGACTGTCAAGCAGCTGAGCACAAGACTCAGGACTTGGGCACATATTCTTGGATGAGAAAACAACGCGGGAAGGAAAAGAACCACACTGCTCAATTAATGCCCTAGATCACGAGGCTGCTCCCACTCAAATCAGGTGCCAGCACCTCTGCAGTCACGAAAAAGAAACCCAGAGGGAGAGTCACTGAGGCTGCCCAACTCAGCGGGTGAGACGCTGGAGGGGCGAGCGGCAGAGACGGGAAAGGCGGAAGCGCCTCCATGGCTGGGGCCCTGGCCGGACCAGCACAGGTTTCTGGACAACCCTGACTTCCCTTCCTGCAGAGGATGACTCGCGGCCCAGACTTTACCCCCAGGCCTGCCCCGCCAGTTTTAGAAACAGACTCCTCAGACACTAGCTGACATAACTCCACAGCTCAAGGACACTTCAGAGGATACGATTCAATGACTTATTTCTAATGATATTGCTAGGAGCCCTAAGGAGGGTCAGGGTCAGGGTCCCCAGGAAGGCAAAGAGGAGATACCCAGGGTCTGGGCCTCTATGCGCCAGCCTCTCTTGAAGCAGAGCAGTCCTACCCTTACACTTTATATACTGGGTTCCACAGAAGAGCTCAGTGGGGGGAAAAAAAGGGGGGGGGGCATATTGCTTAAATAAACTCTCTTAGGTCAACTTCCTCATTATACAGAGAAGACAGAGGCCCGCAGCAGCTAACCGACTTTACCAGAACCAGCTTCCCCAAACAGGGCTTATTCCTCTCCCCTGGAATTGCCCGCTGTTCATCACAAAAGGAGACTCAGTGAAGCGAGGCGGGGTCCAGGCCGGTGACCTTAAATGCAGGCTCTATTACCTAATCAGGACCGGGAGGTTCCTTGAGCAGGCCCCCAACTTCCCAAACAGGGGAAAGAGTAAAGAACTACAGGGTCCCCGATCGCTCCTGCTTAGTTTCAGTACTGGACAAAGGCTGTAAATGAGAGGCACCCGGGTCACGGGGGAGACCTCAGCAGTTCTAGGCGAGCTCCTCTGGAGCAGAACTCACGGTCTGGCTGACCACACCCAGCTGCTAATTTCTGCTCCGCGCTTTCCCTGCTCAACAAAGAAACGCGGAGAGTGAACCGCGCCTAGTTACTGGAAGCCTCCACGAACTACACCTGCCAGTCGGGAGGGCTCGTCTCCTCCTCCCAGGCCTGGAGGCCCCAACGGAGCTCTCGCCCGGGGCCTGCCCCGGTGTGGGAACAGCTGCAGCCTGGTGAGGAGAGCAGGACGGCGGCAGGGGCCGACTCAGGACCCCAGCAGGAGCTGGCTCCAAAAGCGCCTTCCTCTCGTCTACCTGAAAGCAGTCTTTTTTAGACTGTCTATGGTTTTAAGTGGGGACCTGAACCTCAGAAGGGACAGGGCGGTGTGGGAGAAGAGTGCTACCTCCAGCCAGGTATCTGCTTGCACAGGTGCTGCCACGGTCAGATGGAGGGGAAGAGAGGAGCACTTCAGAAGCCACGCGCGCCAGGGGCGTGAGACAAACAGGGTGTCCATCACGTCCCCACCAAGTGGGCAGGGTGAACCCGTGGCCCGAGGAGCCTGCCGGGGGGACTCGAGCAAAGTCTTAAGGTGCTTCTCACTTCGGGATAGAGGTAACAATGCCAAGTAAGAGTCAACCCTGTCCTCCAAAATCCTTTCTCCTAGAGCTGAGAGCACAGGGAATAAGGAGGGCCCCTGACTGTTGTGGCGCCAGGCAACAGGAAAGTGGGTTACACAGCTTCAACTATCAGTTGAGAAAATGCCTATGTCAGGACAACTCTTTGTGGCAAAACTGGTAGAACCAGCCAAACACTTCAATGGCTCCAGAGGAGCAAATTAAGAACTAGGATTCTGCTCGCCCCAACTCAGGAATGGATGGGTTGAAAGAGAAACCACGGAGCCAGTCCCCAATCTCTTCGCTTCCCAAAGGCTTTGCCTCTTAAAGGAAAAGACTCCCTCCCCTATTAGGCGGCTCAGAGTAGTCTTGAACCTGTCCCTCCTGACAGCACCACAAATCCCACAAAGGTCCTAAGATCCCAGGTAAACATCCCTCGGTCAAAACGCTGATTCTACCTCGAGGTCATAACAGCAGAAACCAAAATCAAGCCCGACACCGAAGACTCACCCCTCCTTCCTGGAAGGCGGGGCTGACCCGAGGGGCTCCACAGCTGTGCTCAGGCCCAGAGAGCCTGTGGCCGAGTCTGCTCTTCCGAAGGGGGGGTGGGAAGCAGGGTGATGCTCATACCTTAGACAACAGCTTCATTCTTCCCTTGCTTAAAAACCAGATAGAAAAACACTGCATTTACTTTACATCTGCATTATTACTCTTTTGGTCAAACAACCCACAGTTTTGAGAATTCCTTTTGGCATCAGAAGCTCTATTTGGAGGGAGGTGGTTCCTTCCCTCCTAACACAGACTTAATTTCTGTTCTACTTTCTCCCCATAACAGTAACTGCCCGCTTCAGTCATCCTTCAATGAGTCCAAACTGCTTTTATTCCCGATCACTCCAATTCATCTTCTTCTTGCCAGCCACCTCACACTGGCTCTAACCAGCACCCCACAATTAGGTTTGGCCTGAATCACAGCAGTCAACCCCCCAGAATATCTAGCATGCTCTGATTGTTCCAAGAGCTACAACTAGAACACCAACTCAATGACTCAACAGTTTAAGGCTCAGAAGCCTGGTATGTTAAATTATAAACAGGTAACAGTAAAGATGCTCGCCAGGTGGGCAACAGCTGAAGTAACAGGGAAAAGAATGAAGATAAATCACTCAGATCCCCTCCAGTAACAAGAAGATTAAGAAAGGCTGAATATCCTAAGTGGGAAGTCTTTCAATGCCAACTCAACTGCTTTTCCTAAAAGGACCATGGAATAGGAGAAATGCCTGCCATTCCCTTCAGCAGGAAGCACTAAAGGAAGCCTCCTAGGACTCTCTTCTTCAATGAAACCTGCTCTTTCCCAGCGGCCTTCACGTCTTCAGCTTCGGCCCTGAAGAATACAGAGAAAACCAGGGCTTCCCCGAGGGCCAAGGGCGGAGGACTCTGCCTTCACTGGGGGGGCATGAGTCCATCCCCTGTCGGGAACCATCCTGCATGTCGCACAGCAGTTAAAACCACACACACACACCACCACCACGAAAACCATCTGAGCAACACTAAAGGCCAAAACCGCCTCATTGCTAGGCCCTCTAAATCGAGTTTGAGATTCTCCAGGACTGAGTTCCCGCAATCGCAAATCTGAGCTTCAGTGAACCTAGGGAAAAGCCACGACTACTTGACGAACCTTCCATCGAGTCCAGTTCTCACAGAACTGACTGCTGAGGCTGCTTCATCCTCTCTGGTGACTCCCTCCCACTTCCTTTCTAGTTCAGAATCATCTAATGATGAAAATGGGTAGGAAAATAGGAAGACATCTGTGATTCCAGAGGAAGGGAGGTGGGGAAGGCAGAGGGTGGGCCTGGCCTTAACTCTTCTCACCGCACCTCTGCGGTTTCCATTTACCTGTATTAGACCTCAAACACTCCCAGTCACTTGGCTTTGCAAGAGCCAAACTCAAGAGGAGACATACCCCCTCCCCTCCCCACCCCGCCGATACCACTGCCGGGAGGAAACTCACGTAAAGGCAAAGAAGAGGGTCGTGGCTCCCACTAAGAAGATGGCGGCTGCTGAGACGGGAACATACTTGCTGGGTTTGAACCTCTTTGCAGACTCTGCGGGCATGTTGGAGCTCTGCTGGGAGATCTGCCCTGCCGCATAGCACAGGCCCACACAGCGGCAGAACAGACAAGAAAACGGGACGAGGGCGACCACGGAGTGAGAAGGACCGAAGGAGACCAGGGACACAGAAAATTTAGAATCACCACCCTTCCCCCTCCCAAATAAAACCAAAGGTCAAGAGATCTCCCAGGAAGGAAAGCACATGGGAGGGGGAAAGGTGACTCCAGATGACGAACCACCACCTCCCCAGAACAAGGCAGAAGGAGTGATTAAGAAACACGAGCGGTACAGTTTAAAAACTGGAGACACACAGGAGGCTGCACACATGCAAACGGCTGCAGATGGAGAACACGGGCAGCTGGACAGGTCAGGGGACAGCACATGGAGGGAGGCAGGTCCTCCGGAGGGAAGAAGGGGAAGGCGGGGAGCACAGAACGCCTCTGGCGAGGAGAACGTCTTCAGAGGAGACACTGCAGCGCCACGACCACCTCACTCCCACCGGAGGCGAGCGGCGCCCGGGGGGCCTGTGTTTCTAGTTCAGTCCAAGGAGGGGCCTGGGGCCCCTGCCAGCTTTAAAGAGAAACCCGCTTCACTGCGCTCCTCGACCCTCTCAGGCAGTTTTCTCAACGCCACCACTCCCACACCTTGACTTCGGGCTTGTCGTCTGGCAGTGGTGGTTTAATTTTATTTACTTTCTTCTCTTGATGGCTAAAGCTGGGCAGCAGCTGTTACAAGGTTGAGTTGTAAATCCTTTTCTTTGAAGGGGGAGGGAAAACAGAGCCGAGAGAGTGTACGAGCGCAAGCTTGTCCGTCTTCAGTCTGTTCTTGTTGCTCCCAAACCGTTCAAGGGCTCCATTCCCTGCAGAGTTCATGTAAAACGGAAGGGAAACACAAAATTCCCAAAGCCATCTTCTTCCCAATTAGCAAAATAAGATGAAGAAAAGCAATTCCACTTGATGATACTTTTGAAAGGTCACTGTGGATGAAAGCAAAATTCCCAAGAGGTCCCTGTTTCCAGGTTAGTCAGTGTCTTTGATCTTCTTTAATCTTGGGCTTTCTGGATACAGAGTTCAACCAGGTTATGATGCCTCACCTGGAGAAAAACAAATACCTTGATCAGAGAATTTTTTCACGGCATTTCTCAGAACATTGAGGCTAAAACCCCACAAGGTATTCTATTAAAACGTGCCCTCTGAAAGAAGATGATTTTCTACTTCACTATGTTTATGTGGGAAGGACTCTGAACTGGGAAGACAGTGGGCTCAGAATTCTTCCCTCTTCCAAGTGCTCTTCATTTTGAAGAAAAAAAAACATGGCTTCACCTGGCCTAAGATCATCAGAGAACTAGCTCTCGACACAGATGGGGCCCGTCCCACCTGACACCGATGGGCATTAAAAAATACCAAGAATATAAAAATCTGAAAACAAACAATGGCACAGCAGAGCAGGGCAGTCCTAGAAAAGAGATTTCCCTTTGAACAAAGAGAATATTTATTGCTACAATGAAAAAAGGAGGACAAAATTAGGACAGTCAGTCTCATTTCCTTTCTGCGCGTGTCTCTCACGCTCTTATCCTTCTATGCTTTTTAGTTACAACCTTAAGAGAGGCAAAGGCTGAATTTTTCGTCTTCTGAAGTAACTCGTGAAAGGACCTGGGTGAGAAATGTCCCTGAGCTGAAAGGTGGGATGCCCTCTAAGAGGAACCGAGCCAACCACAGGGGCGGGTCTTTCTCTTCCCAAGTCAACAAGTTTCTGCTCCGATATTGGCCGAGTAGGAAGTCAAGGGACCCCACCTTCCCTGGTATGATTAAGAATAGCAATTACTTCTGTTGATGGTAGTAGCAAAATAACACTTTGGATTGTAAGGGATGCTTTTCATCTAGTGATGTCAAAGCACTTAACTCACATTATCTGATGACACAGTTCCTTATCCCACTCCATAAAACTGAAGGTTAGAAAACGCCTGAAGCCATCTACTAAGCAGTCAGGTTCAGAACTCACAGTTCACAGGCCCCTCTGCCAAAGCAAACCCTTCCTACCTTTCTCATCTAATATACTACCTATCCACTGAAGACAACTTGGAATCTGCAGACCAAACATTTTATTTAAGGTTTTTTTTTTTCCATCCAAGAGGTGTGGTATCTCCCTAATACCAAGGACAGAGATTAAAATATCAGAAGTTTTGAATTAGTGAAATATGAATGTACCCTGGAATCAATCACTTCCTCCTTTCTGTGGCATGGGAGACAAATCTTCCTTCAAGATGCGCTCGCACTCTCACTCACACACACAAAATGTAGTTTTAGAGGGCCACACAGCATTATTAGAATAGATTGATTCCTAGAGGAATCAAAGCCCAACTTTCTGAATTTAGGCCTCAGTAACTTTGTTAACAGTGAGGAGCAAATTCTTAGTTTGCAGACAGTACTATTAAACTTTCCTCTCAAAGCCTCAAAGATTAGAGAAGATGAAAAATTGTGCTGCTTATATTTTATCTAGGGTAGGATATCACTTAGATACCATATGTTATTTCAGATTATATTTTTCTGACAGGAAAAAAGTCACATGGACCAGTATTGCCAAAGTAATTCAGAGTCATAAAAGGCCAGGCCATTTGGGGAGGACAGTACTGGGAAACAAAAGTGATCAGCATAAGATATTTAGAGAATATATATTAGAAGTGACACGACAAAACCTAAGGAAGCACTGGGTCTACTAAAGACGGACCAGGTCAGAGCAGAAGGATGTTCTGTGAGTAATAAGATGAGACAGCAAGGTGACTGTGGTTCAGCAGAACCAGCAGTCTGGACCCATAACAGTAGGACAAAGGTGGACAAGCACGTGGATAACACCGTCAGGCACAGAGTACTCTATAGAAGGTGACCACGTATATAGAAAAGAAACTATAGAATGTGTTGTTTCAAGGCTTTAAGGAAGGTTTAACACAAGTACCTCCTTAAAGGGGTGAATGGATTGGGGAGCATGACTGACAGCACAAGCCCTGTTTGTTAAGATAAAGTGGTATAATAGTATAATACTGTAAATCCGAACACAAAGTTATCAGTATATGAAGAATAATCCACATGTCAAGATACCCGCTGAACAGTCAAAGAGAGGTTTAATATGGGCGTGATCGTTATAAACCGAGGTAGCAAAGTACGTGGCAATACAAATCCTGCAAGTATTAGGTGGGTTTTAAAGACTAGGTGATAATGACTACTCTGAAGAGATTTAATATTGTGCAAAGGGATCCTGGGATTAAAAATAATAAAAATAATGGAGACGAATATAAGGTCAACCTAGACAAGATGGCATTAACCAAGCAGTGAAAACTCCATGGCACAGACACTGTCTAGAGGGTAACATATATCTGATCTCACACCTCCTTCCAGAACTTTGTCACTTTTACTTCTCATTTCGACGTCTCCATTTGGCCAGGTCGGTGAAACACTTTCAACCTTCCTGCCCCACAGGATTCCTATAGGCAAAATAATGGCCAGCACAGTGGAGCTCCCACTTGTGAAAAGTACAAAGTACTGGAAGCAGGCAGCTCCGGGCTGGTGGGGGTAGGGATGGGAGCGGGCGGATGCGAGGGGACAGGTAACAGGATGAGGCTTGGGCCAGAACAAGGGACAGCAGAGCGGGGCGAGGGACTCGAGACGCAGAGAGAGAGCGGCGCCCAGTCCCCACCCCGGGGCCGGGGCGCCGAGGGTCGCCGTCCGGGGCAGGGCCGGCCCACACGGAGAGGACGTGGTCGGCGGCCGCAGGGCCCCCAGGGGCTGAGGGGGCCCGCGGGACGCGGGACGCGGGCCGGGGGCGGCGAAGGCCGGGGTCCCCTCACGACCCGGCCCTGAAGGGAGGCCCGGCCTCTGCCGGTCGCCCTTCTCCGGGGCCCGAGGGTCCGGCCGCGGGAGGAGGACCCGGCCCGGACACTGAGCGGGGCCTCCCACCGCCTCCCCTCGCCGGTCCCCCTTCCCTAGAGGTCACGCTCCCCTCCCACCCTCAAGCCCCGCACTTCCGCTTCCGCAGGGGCCGCCGGCCCCGGCACTCACCCGCGGCCAGCTCCGCGTCGCCGCCGCCGCCGCCGCCTCCCGGCAGTGCCGTCCGGCCTCTGAGAGGCAGCGCGCGGCCCCCGCACGCTCCGCGCCCGCCCCACGACGCGCGCGCCCGCCCGGCGACGCTCGCCTACCAGCCGGCGCGCGGCCGTTGCCCTCAGGGCCGGGTCGCCCGCCCTCCCCGCGCTCCCATTGGCTCCCGGCGCCGGGCGCGCGCGTTGCGTCTCGCGCGGGGCGCGTTTCTCTCATTCATGCAGCTCACGCCGCCGCGCCCGCCCCCGCGCGCGCTCCCATTCACCGCGCGGCCCCCACCCCCACACCGCCCAGGGCGTGCGCGCGCACCCCGGCGACCGCGGCGACCTCGCGGCCTGATTGGCTGCGGGAGCACAGCGCCGCGCCACGCGAGAATACACGAGAGCGCGCGCGCGCAGGGCCGTCGGGATCCGCCGGCGACCGCCCGGGGAGGGTGGGCGTACTTGGGGGGAGTCAGAAATGGGAGAATGGCTGGGCGAGTAGTCCGCCTTTCCTGCCTCCCGATTTCCGCCCCTCCTGGATAGACTCAGAAATCCTCAGAAGCAAAATATAGTTATATGTGTCTGCTGAAAGTTCTCAAGAACAAGCTGCCACCCTCCCGAATTCGCCACCCCCCCCCCCAATAACTGTGGTACCAGCCAGACAGGCTTCTGAGATAACCAATCACCCTCGGGCCCCGGCGTATTCCTGTTTCAGCCCCTCCGTGCATTGGCCAACCCCCGGCCACCCCGCCCCTTTTTGACGGCGAAAACTTTATTTAAATCAATCTTGACGGGGCCGTCGCCAGTCTGAGCTCCCGGGTACCAGCAGAGGTCCAGGATGGTGGCAAGGCTTAGGCTGTCGCTTCCGCCTGGAGGGTCTGACGCGACTGGAAGAGTCAGTTTAGAGGACGAGTTAGTGTTAGTCTCTCAGTCGTGTCCGACTCTTTGTGACCCCCGTGGATCCGCCAGGCTCCCCTGTCCATGGGATTCTCCAGGCCAGAATACTGGAGTGGGTAGCCGTTGCCTTCTCCAGGGGATCTTCCCCTCCCAGGGATCGAACCCAGGTCTCCCACGGATTCTTTACCAACTAAGCCACCAAGGAAACCCAAGAATACTGGAGTGGGTAGCCTATCACTTCTCCAACGGCTCTTCTGACCCAGGAATCGAACCGGGGTCTCCTGCATTGCAGGCGGATTCTTCACCAGCTGAGCCACCAGGAAGGGCGAAGCGCCAGCCAAAGGTCCGGGAAGAAGAGAGAGGAGAGCGGGCACCAGCCTTGGGGCCCCAGGGCCACCCATGGAGGAAGGCTCCGGGAGTGCGCGCGGAGGCAGCAGCGGCCCCTGGAGTAAGAGTTTCAGTTCAGTTCACTCACTCAGTCGTATCCGACTCTTTGCCACCCCATGGACTATAGCCCCCCAGGCTCCTCTGTCCATGGAATTCTCCAGGCAAGAATACTGGAGTGAGTAAGGCCTTCCCTTTTCCAGGGGATCTTCCTGACCCAGGAATCAAACCCAGGTCTCCTGCATTGCAGGCACATTCTTTACCATCTGACCCACCAGAGGTATGTGTATAACTCAGTTACTTTGCTGTACACCTGAAACTCAGTTCAGTTCAGTCGCTCAGTCGTGTCCGACACTGCGACCCCAAGGATGGCAGCACTCCAGGCCTCCCTGTCCATCACCAACTATGGGAGCTTGCTCAAACTCATGTCCATCAAGTCTGTGATGCCATCCAACCATCTCATCCTCTGTCGTCCCCTTCTCCTCCTGCCTTCAATCTTTCCCAGCATCAGGGGCTTTTCCAATGAGTCAGTTCTTCGCATCAGACGGCCAAAGTATTGGAGCTTCAGCTTCAGCATCAGTCCTTCCAATGAATATTCAGGACTTAATTCCCTGAGTTTCGCTATAGCACAGGGGATGGAGCCCCCTTGCCTAATCTGGGGCAGTCTGGAAATACAGGCAGGAAGGAAAAGGTTCTCCAGAAGGTCCTGTCCATGGCGAGCTGCTAGCCAGTTCTCCCTAGATCTCAGCGCCACATTTTGCCCTAATTAGTCCTACACAGCTGTGAACCCAGGAGAAGGCCCAGTGTTCTCTCCTGATTTAGACCAAGGCCATTTTCTGCTCTGGCTGTTACATAATAGTCTTTCAAAAAAGTGTTCCACCAGCCAGTTCTCTGAAGCCAAGGTTTCTCACCTGTGAAGTGTGATTCTAAATCCTGCTGTCTGTCCTCGGCTTTGGTGTCAAATGTTGCTGGTTTAACTGCTCTGATGTTTAGCAGTTAAGCAGCAAGGGAAAGGAGGTCTACCTTCTGTTTTCTGAGGTCTAGTCTAGTTCCTTTTCTGGCATGGCATGTGTTAACAGGCTATAGTTCATTCTTGCTAAAGGCTTCATCTACCATTTTTTGCAGCACACTGTAGAGTTCTCTTAATGACTGTGTATATTTTAAAAATGAAAAATTTTTAAACTTTCTACCTTATGGTAGGTAAAGTTAAGGTATTATTGGAGATAAAATGTTTGTAGAGGCTTTTCTATTTGTAACCCAACTTAATTTGTTTCCTTAGGGAAAGATAAAATGTCATTTATCTATATTTTTCTTGCGTTTGTTGTTATTATTTTTTGCCTACACAGCACACCTTGCAGAATTCTGGTTCCCCAGTCAGGGACTGAACCTGCACCCCCTCCTGGAAGTATGGAGTCTTGACCACTGAACCACCAGGAAGTCCCTTTTCTTGGACTTTTAAGACTTCATTTCTCCAAGTTCACAAATTAGGCATTTGCCTTTTCCCACTTTCAACAGTCTAAGAACCTATAAATTGTTTTGTCTCTTAGTTAGACAGTGCTAAATGGGAATGAGCATTGGACATTTCACTGACCAACCACATATACTAAACTCCCCTAGGACACTGGATTACTGAATGCCAAGCTGTTAGCTGGATGAGTACTGACAGTGGCATAATCATTATCCCAGGGTTTAGAGAGAGATTCCATTTTCTTTTCCAATTTTCCTTAGGATTGTGCAAGATATTTCCTGGAAAGGATGTTTAATAGAACACAAGATTTAAACTGATAGTCACTTCTGAAAAGTATTGCAAAGTAAAATCTAGACTAAAACAATGAGATATCCGGATCACCAAAGTTCAAACAAATTGCTATGTATGTCAAGTAATACCTCATAGTTTTTTCTGGTGTAGTTTATCAGTACTTTTTCAAAGCATCTGTACTTTTTTATCCTCTCTCCCAAAGTTTCCTCAATCTCAGATCCAATCTAGATGCTCAAGTAAAAAATGTGGGTATCACCTTTGATTCCACGTGCTTTTCCTTACCACTCCTATCAGCAAGTCCTATCAATTTTACCTCTGAAATCTCCTGAGGCAATCTACTCAACTCTCTCTGCTGCCCTCTTCTGAATCATTAATTCTCACACTGACCCTACCTCAAAAGTCCAACTTGTGTTCTTGCTTTTCTTGCCTCTGGAATCCATTTTTCTGCCTGGCAGTAATATTTTCAATGTAAATTAAAACATGCCATTCCTGTGTTCAGCCACCTGCAATGGTATGAATTTTTGTGCCCCCACCCAATTCTTATGCTGAAGTCCCCAGTATTAGGAGATGAAACCTTTGAAAGATGCTTAGATCATGAATGTAGACCTTCATGAACGGGATCGGTGCCTTTAGAAACAAGGCTCCAGAGCTGCCTGCCCCTCTCACTCTGTGAGGACACAGTTGAAACAGGTCATCTGCAACTTGGAAGAGATCCCTGGCAGAACTTGACTACGCTTGGTGCCTTGAATTTGGCCTTCCCAGCCTTCAGAAATATGAACGTTTTCTGATGTTTGTAAGTTACTCAGTGTGTGTTTTTGTTGTTGTTCAGTCCCCAAGTCATGTCTGACTCTCACAATCCCATGGACTGCAGCAGGCCAGGCTACTCTGTCCTTGACTGTCTCCCAAGAGTATGCTTAAATTCATGTCCATCAAGTGAGTGGGTAGGTGATGGTATCTGACCATCTCATCCTGCCACCGGCTTCTTCCTTTTCCTTCAGTCCTTCCCAGCATCAAGGTCTTTCCAATGAGTCGGCTCTTCGCGTCAGATGGCCAAAGTACTGGAGCTTCTTACCCCTCTCCCATCATCTCCCACTGCTCTTGGATTACAAAAGCCCTACACTATTTGGTCTTTGCTGCCTCCCAACCCGGCCTGACTTTTTCCCTCTCCCCTTGATTCGCTATATCACTCCCACCATGCTGGCCTTTCCTTTCATCCAACACATTCAGACTGCTCCTTTCTTAAGGTTTTGCACTGCTTCCTTCACCGGGAAGATTCTGTCCCAATTGCACACAGTCATTCAGGTCTTAACTTGAAACATGTGCTCAGAAGAGGCCTTTCCTGACCACCTGATTTAAAAAGCCTCCTGTCCACTCCACCTCCTATCACCCAATCTTAAGCCTCTCTGCACAGCACCTCACTTTTTATGTTTACTGTATGCTCTGTAAGACTCTGTCCATCTTGTCCCCCCATCTGGAAAGGTCCCTGTCACATAGTAGGTACATGATAAAAATTTGTGGAAAGAATCAATGGATAAGGTCATCATGATACTTATTCAATAATACAAGTCCAAACTAGGGAAACCAATTATTTCCAAGAGATCAAAGAGAATGGGCTGTCCCAGCTTATCACCTGAAGGCTCAAATTTATTTTTTGAATTGGGATCTGATTCCAGTTAAACAGACAACAGGAAAGAGAGCAGAGAGCTGTAGCTGAGAGAAAATGAACTATCTCTGGATAATAGTAAATCTGAACTCTCACCCCAAGTTTACCACCACCTGTTTAGTTCCTCAGAGTAAACCCATCACTGAGCAACAAATTTAGGATCTATTTACCCAAGTGCAGAGGAAAAGGAAACCAACATAAAAATTCACCTGCTTAGCTCACAGGTGGGCTCTTGGCTTTCTTCTTCTCTAGGCATTCAGTAATAAATCATTCCAATAATGTTTCTATAAGGCTTAGGGGGAAAAAAACCAAGCTTTAAAAATTATACCAACTCCTGTGATATGGCAAAAATATTTATTAAAATAGTTTTTTCTTTTTTCCCAAGTATGAACTTTATTGGGAGGAGTCCTTCGAATTCACTCTTTCATCCCAGACAAACGAGATAACAAGTAGTATATGCAGAATATAAAATGGTAACAAATGAGTCCACGTGGTAGTACAGTGAAAGAAAGGGGACTTCTCTGGAACTGAGATCATTCAAAGTGGCACCTTAGGTGACCTAAGAAACTTTTGGTTCACAATTGGAAGAGTTAGGGGATCACCACCTGTTTTTAAGAGGTAGAACATATGCTTTCTGGTAGTCCACCATTTACTGAGTGGCCTGGCCACAAGAGGGTCTCATACCTCAGCCCGGCTGCCCTTGGTGATGGCTAGAAGGCCACCAGGCCCCAGGCAGCAAGGCTGCCTGCTGATGTCTACTTAAGATCCATGAACCGGATATCCATGATGAGCAGGAAGTTCTTGGGCAGCGGGCGGGGGGCCGGAGAGAGAACAGTGAACACCTGGTGCTCCAGGTCCACACTGGTCACCACGATGAAGCCGGCCACGCTGGTCTCAGAGAGGTTCTCCTCCGTGCCCTCCGCGGTGCTGACGCTCAGCAGGTGGTGCACCATATCTCGGCCGGGGGTGACAGGCACGAGCTTGAGCTGATTGTCTTCCTGAGACATGCCCAGAGGCAGGCAGGAGTCTGGGATGGTGGGTGCCCCAACTTTGTAGATTTTCACATCGGAAAATTTGACGTTGAAGGCATGGGGATAGAAACAGCCCCGGAATCCATAGAAATACTCACGGATGCGCTCATCCCGGCACTCCCGCCGGAAGTCCTTGGAGCGCTCCACCACACCCCCCGACTTGGGGAGCAGCACCGTGCGGACGAAGTGAGGCAGGTCCCGCTTCAGTTCATTGTACAGCCGTTCTTGATCCAGAACCACTACTACATCCACCTCAAAGGCTGAGGCTGCATGGACCAGGGCCTGGTAACCAGAGCCCTTGACCCAGCCACAGGTGTTAATGACACATCCGCTCACCGAGGCCCTGCGGTTCACTTCACACCTCTGGTTGAACACATCGGCTAAACGAGATGTAATCTGCAGAAGAAAGGGTCCAGGTGAGGGAGAAAAGGCACAAAATGAACCCAGGCTACATGATCCTTCTTCAGCCTAAGCGGTATCAGGTTCAAGAAAAAGGACATTCCTAATGGTTGCGGTTTTGACCACATAACATGGATTTAGTTTTCATTTTATGTTGTTTATCCTGTCTCTGGTGTTTCATGTCCCAAGTTGAAATGTAATAAATTACTTAAGAATGAAGTGAAGTGAAGTGAAGTCGCTCAGTCATGTCCGACTGTCTGCGACCCCATGGACTATAGCCTACCAGGTTCCTCCATCCATGGAATATTCCAGGCAAGAATACTGGAGTGGGTAGCCATTTCCTTCTCCAGGGGATCTTCCAGACCCAGGGATTGAACCAGGGTCTCCCGCATTGTAGGCAGACGCTTTACCATCTGAGCCATCAGGGAAGAATAGGACCTACTTAAGAATAGGTCCGTAGAAACGATTTACCATCTGAGGTTGAACTATTTTTGAAACTGTCTTTTCCAAAACCCATCACCATGGAAACGACAGCCGCTGAGAGGGGGCAGAGCGTTTTAACAGGCAAACGCCTGCACAGCTTCCAGCCCCCTCCATCCACCCCGCCTTGCCCCGGCCGCTGACCTTATTATAAAGCTTGATGTTGGTGCCGGGCGTGGTGGAGCCGAAGTGGTACACCAGCGGGGCCTGGATGGAGAAGCCCTCCTCCACGTCCGCCGGCCGCTCAATGTAGAGGGCCCCCATGGTGCCGGGGATGGACACAGAGCCCTGGCCCACATCCAGCTCCACGTACGTAGGACGGCGGCCCAAACGCACCGCGTAGTTGAGCAGCAGACGGCACACGGTGGACTTGCCCACGTCGGTGGGGCCCACCACCATCACCCGGGGGCCTCGCTCCTCCTCCTTCTCTGCCTGCCTCCGCATCTGCTCCAAGGCCGTATGCGTGTTGAGATAAAGCAACATCGGGGTGTCCTTGGAGACGTAAGCCACCTCGGTGCGGCCACTGAGCTGCAGCGAACAGCCGTGCCAAGTGAAGACAGCCACCTTGGCACCGGCATCAAAAGTGAACTTCTTGTTTCGGGTCAGCTCTGTGCCGAAGATTTCTGCCATGCCAGCCAGCAGCTCCAACTGAACTGACTGCGACGCCTCCACCTCAAAGCGAAGCTCTGTCTCCCGCTCTAGTTCAAATTTAGTTGTTGGCTTCTTGTCATCATTGGCCTCCTCTCCCATCTTTCCTGTGTGGCTGCTTTGTCTGGAACACCAATATCAGATCTAAACATAAGTTAGGACTCGGTTGAAAATGCTCCAGAGGATGTTTCTCCTTACTTTGCTTTATTCTTCCCCCTTATCTCTCATCACCACCTGTCCCACTATACATCTGATTATTGTCTGTCTACCCTCACTAGAAGGTAAGGGTTGGGCATTTTGGTTTGCTGCTCTAACTCCAGTACCTAAAATAGAGCTTGACAACCAAAAGGCACCTCTGTAAAAACACCGAGTGAATAACTGGCTCAGACGTCGGCGGAAAAAAAGATACCTATATACTGACAGACTTGATTACAGCACCTTTGTTGCTCCCTTCATCACTATCACTCTTTAGGGTACTCTAGACTTGAAAAAGCTACAGATGCCAAATCCCTAACCTTTGGGTCAACAAAAAACGGAGTCAGCCATCTGAGGAAGAGCAGAGAACACCGAGTTGGCACTCAGAAGTAAACAGCATCAAGGAAACAGCTCAGCGACCACTAACAGTGTCTTTAAACAAATCACTTAGCTCCTCTAAACCTTCTCCTCCGCTGTCAACTGGAGGCGCTTACAGTTCCCCACACAAAGTGCTGTTCTGGGGACTAACCGGAATGGTCGGAGGGAAAGAAAGAAATTAGTAAACTAGAAAGCGCCAAGGAACGGCAAAGAGTTATCTCCGATCCAGATCGCAGCTCCAGGTCTAGCATCCGGCCCAGCCTCCCCAGGCACTGAAATCTGCGCAGGCTCTAAGGAGGCGGCGGCTGCGATTCTGAACCTACTACCTCACCTGTACAGCCACGAGCTCAAACCTGCAAACCAAGGAGACAGGACCTAAGCCCAGCACCGACCCACGCTCACCGAGACCCACGCTCACCGAGACCCACGCCGGAAACAAGGGTTTCCGCACTTGCGCAGTGGGGAAGGCGCGGCCGCGCGGGGGCCCCTGGGAGATGTAGTTGTACCAGAGCTGTCGCGAGCGCTCGCGCTGGCGCCGCCGCTCGGCCCTCTGGGACTTGTAGTCAAGGAGGGTTTGGTTTTTTTTTAACCATGACGTCAAAGGCGGGCGGGGCGGCTGCCGTCATTGTTCGTCAAGCAGCGGGGGAGGGAAGCTGTAGGCGTAGTGGTTACGCCCCCGAGCGCGGCGGGGACCCGCCGCTGAGAGGACGACGGCCGCTGGGGCGCGGTGGCTGCGGGCGCTCTGCCCGTCGCTCCCGCGCACCTGCGGCCCGGGAAGGAGAAGGGGACGGGCGGCAGGCCGGGAAGGGGGCTCACCATGTAGGCCGCACAGTCGCCTGGAAGCGGGGCGCGGAGCCCTGTGTGGATACGAGGAGACCTAGGGGTGGAGAGGAGAGAGGGGAGCCAGGCCGCTCATCAGAGACCAACTGGACCGCCATTCGCGTCCTGACACAGCGTTTGACCCCTGGAGAGCATTACAGAGCATTTTACTTAAAGAATAAAAAATAAATTTCTTCCTGTTACTCTGCAAGGCAGTCATTACCCAACAGCCTCTCTCCTGTTAAGCGGGGAGCTTTGCTGGGGACTCTTTCCCTCCCCAAATCTCTGACGGTTATACAAGGGCAATCATTCACCCCACAAGCAACAGGTTGGGCCACATCTATACGTTCAGACGGTACAGCATGTCTGCAAGGTGGGAGCCGCGGGTTCGGTCCCTGGGTCGGGAAGATCCCCTGGAGAAGGGAAAGGCTACCCACTCCAGTGTTCTGGCCTAGAGAATCCCAAGAACGGAGGAGCCTGGAGGGCTACACTCCATGGGGTCACAAGAGTCGAACAGGACTGAGCGACTTCACTTTCACTTGATACACTTCCGATGCGTTTGGACTTGGGAATATTCTTTGCCACTTGCTTGCTGTGTGACTTTGGGCAAATCACAGGCTTAGATGCAGTTGTTTGTTTGTTTAACTGTAAAATAGGGGTAACAATTTATCTTCAAGTTGTTTTGAAGCATGAATAGGATAATGCATATAAAGCACTAAACCCAATGCCTGTAACATAGAATGCATCTGATGTGAGCTCTTAAGGTATTATTATAAATTGAGAATGGGGAGCTATAACAAGGCCATCTATTTGTAGTTTACATTTTTCAAAGTCCTTTCAGGTGTCCTCTTTCACAGCCACCTGTAAAGTCAGCTTTATTAAATTTCAGGTGAGAGAGGACACTAAGACAGGTGGAGGGATTTGCACAAGCTAGTATTCAAACCCAAGATTTTGGAGTTTTAATTCAGTTATTATAACAGCGAACGAATAGTACTAGATGCCACATACTGTTCTATGGGCTTTAAGGGTATAAATCCATTTAATCCTCATGAGAATCCTGTGAAGGACACGCTGTAACTGTCACCCCTACTTTAGAGATGAATACAAAAAAAAAAAGATGAATACTTCCTTCAGTCCAGCTCACATGGTTAATCCCGGTGGAAAAGCCTAGGAAGATTTTCTGGGTTGCCTTTTTCCAGCTGGCCCCACCTTAGCCTTCACTTTCTAAGAATGCCATCCTCACTTCTCACGGTTCTTTCTTGGATGCGTGTGTGTGGTGTGCTGAGACACTTCAGTCCTGTCTGACTCTTTGCAACTCTATGGACTGTAGCCCACCAGGCCCATCTGTCCATGGAATTCTCCAGGCAGAATACTGCAGTGGGTTGCCATGCCCTCCTTCAGGGGATCTTCCCAACCCAGAGATTGAACCCACATCTCTTATTCCTCCTGCATTGGCAGGCAGGTTCTTTACCACGAGCACTACCTGGGAAGCCCATCTATCTTGAATGGTTTGCTTTCATTCATTCATTCATTCATTCACGGTGCATGTATTAGTTCTCTAGTGAACTACCAAGTATCCTCTAATTGCTCACCATTCTTCAAAAATCCAGTTCTAGGGCTTCCCTTGTGGCTCAGCTGGTAAAGAATCCACCTGCAATGTGGGAGACCTGGGTTCAATCCGTGGGTTGGGAAGATCCCCTGGAGAAGGGAACGGCTACCCACTCCAGTATTCTGGCCTAGAGAATTCCATGGACTATATAGTCCATGGGGTAGCAATGAGTTGGACTCGACTGAGCGACTTTCACACACACAAAAAAAGAATCCAGTTCTAATCTTCCATTTGTAAAATTCTCTCTCTGTGAGCTCATCCTCTCCTATTTACATGCAGTCCACCTCCCAGATCTGTTCCTTTGCCTCCACATTCTCTCCCTTGAGACAGTTTCTCCCAATTATCTAAAAGTCATCTTTTTTTTTTTTTTCTTTCTTCTATTTCTTTGTTCTCCTTGGCCATGCCACACACTATGTGGTGGGCAGGATCTTAGTTCCCCAACCAGGGACAGAACCCATGCCCCCTGCCTTGGGAGTGTGGCATTTTAACCGCTGGACTGCCAGGTAAGTCCCAAGGTCATCTTAATTTAGATATTACATAGCCACCTCAAGCTGAATTTAGGGAGAAGAAACCCCTCCCCCTCCTTTAGAGACTGCTCTCCATTTTGCTTCTTAAACAGAAAGGGTCAGGGTACACCACTGAAAGCATCTGTGCTTGCCCACACTCTTTCCTCACTGTCTTTCACCAAGCACTCCTCTCCTCTCCACCCACCCTCAAATAATACTGCCCTCACGTGTCTTTTTCATTCTCCTCTCCAGTTAAATCTGTGATCATCTTCTTCCTGAGGTCATTTAATTTTTTGCTTCTACACTTTCAAGCCTTGCCCTAAAAAACTACTCATCTTCCTTTTTCTCACTTCCTTCTATTTTCCTCAACAAATTCCTCTTCCACTTACATTTCCTTCCTCATCTGCTGTCTAGATGAGAGCATTTCCCTTTTCTTTCTTTTTCTTTATTTGGTGCTACCTGTCAATTCCAAACCCCTGGTAACATCATTCAAGATACCCACTTTGTTTTCTCAGAATGTACCTTAAACTGAAGAATCTTCCCTGATGGAAATATTCAGAATTCTTTTTACTTTTTCATACCCTGCTAGCACTGCCTCCCATTAACCTCTTTTCCCTACCCTAACTTTTCACTCCCCTTGTGAAAAAGTACTTCATTTTCTGAACGTTCACCTCAGTTAGAAATCTAGGTTTTTACCTTAGAGGGTATGTTCTGTGTCTACATACTTTAGCAACTTGCAGAGGGCAAAACTTTATGAGAAATATTTTGGATCAAATGAAGTATAACTGGAAACTGACAGAAAAATAGCAAGAAAGATGTGAAGTTCTTTGTAAGACACAAATTTGGCATGTGCCTCTTGAGCTATCAGAATTTAAGAGTAAATCCACTCTGGGTTGAGGGGTATTCAAGTTGAGAACACTGTTTTGAAATGCCAGTAACTACTGTTTACTAGCTGCCTATCACGTGCCAGGCATTTTTTTTTTTAGATGTTTACATATTATCTCACTTTACTTCACACTCCATGTGGTAAACATTAGCTTCATTTAGCAGATGGAGAAAACAGGGGCACACAGGTTATCAGTAACTGGCCCAGTGGTTCCTTGTAAGTGTATTGCCAGAGCTGGGATTCCAACTCAGGTCTCTCTGAGACCAAAGTCAGACACTTGGACAACGTCTGAAGATGCAACTCAACTGCTGTTTTTTGAGCATCTTCTGTAGGCAAAGCTCTGCGCTTGGCATTGTAGTCCTGGGATGCAGAGAAGAGTTTCCCAGAGGACCTGCCTCAAAGTTTAGAGCCCAGCAGAGAATCTTATGTAACATGGGTGTCTCCGTGCGTGAAGCACAGGTCATTTGGAGGTAGTCGATAAGAGGTTTCTGCCTGTCAGAGGTCATTTTTATCTGTGACTCCTTCAAGGGGTGTTGAACAGAAGGCTTTGAGGCTTGGAAGCGCCTGGTACAGGCTTGGGGGCGTTCCATGCCATCTGTGACCATTAATACGGCCTCCTTTCCCCTGCGTATCAGAGCTGAGATGGGAAATGTAGCATCTTGCCTGTGCGCGCATGGTGGGTCCTGACTCTGCACCCGGCTCCCAGCCTCTCGGTCTTTGGTCCAGCCCTGCCACCCGTACCGCGGACTCCATCCTCGCCCAGCCCTGTCCTCCCCCCAGCTTCTGGCGGTCTCCTTGGCCACGGGGCCCTCCTCCCCAGCACCCCGGCTCCTCTCCCTGCCCGCCCCTGGCTCGGCCCGCCCCCCCACCCTGGGCATCTCTGCCCCAGCCCCAGCCCTCGACGCCTGCCCGCTGCCTGCCTCCCAGCCCGCCTCCTGTGTCTCCCAGCCCCGCTCTGACGTGGGAGGTGAGGGGGGTGGGGGCCCGGATGACTCACAGTGTTATGATGCAGTCCCACAACACACAGCTACATTCACCCACAGACCGGGGTACCGGCGGGAGGCCGCCTCTGGCCGCCGCCCCCCCGCCCCCCGCAGCTGGGCCAGCTTGGCAGCCCGGGTCTGGAGCCCCTCACCACCACCCTCCCCGCCCCCCGCCCCCAGCCCCTTCCCCACTGAAGGAGCGGAAGGAGCCGCGAAGAGAGCGCAGAGAGATTGAGAGAGACAGGGGGAGATAGACGGAGATCTCTGGAGCCGGCCTCAAGGTGAGGGGGCAGCCCTTCTCCAAGCGCACCTTTCCCCTCTGTGCGTCTCCCCCTCGGGCTGCGCGTGGCTTCCCCCCCTCGCCAAAGCATTCTCCATCCACCCTTTGTCCTCCCTTCCCCCTCCCCGCCTCATCCCTCTGTGAGCTCTTCCCGGCAACTTTGGCCGCAGCCTCAGGCACCCCTGTTTAATCAAGCAGCCCTGTTTGTATTGTTTGGCCGCTGGGGTGCGACCCCCCCCCCCCAAGCCCGCCCCGGGAACCTGCTGCGCGGCTCATCATTGGGACCATACCGTACCGAGAATGCCAGCCCTTCGGGGGGGCCCGCGGCCTCCGAGCAGATGCGAGCATCCATTGTGAGCAGGTGTCCCCCTCCCTCTTTGCTTTTTCCTTTTTTTCCCCCCCTTAAGAGGCACGGGATTCGCACCTGGCTCCGCCAGCCTCCGCCTCTGCCGTCAGCGCCGCTTGCTCAGCAACCCCTCCCTCCCCCCGCCTCCCACGGTCCAGCCGCGGCTCACTCGGGGGGCCGTCCGCACCCCGGCGCGCTTCTGCCCCCGTCATTGGCTCCCCTTGCTTCTCCCGGTCATCTGAGATGGGGGGAGAAGTGACCCTGACGCCCCCTGCCCCCGTCCCCCGAGAGGGGCTGTCTGTGCAGCCTCCCCTGGGAGGGATGGGGAAGCATGGGAGACAGGCGGGGTTAGGCTGGGGGGTCTGCCCCCCTCCCCGAGCCCCAGGAAGGTGGCGGGGGGGCGCTCCAGGTGGAGCTCGCCGCCGGGAACTCACTGGCGGGCAAAGTTGAAAGCAGACTAGTCCAGCGAAGGCTGGACGGTGTTCTGCTGGTGAGGACCCCAATGTCACCCTGAACTCAGCCCAGGGTGCTCTTCCTGAGTCCCCCCAGGGGCAGAGGGCCTGAAACGGCCCCTGCCCTCTGCCGGGAGGCTTTGCAGAGAGCGTGCCTGGCGGCCCCAGGCAATGCTGGCACAGCGTGGGTGCTGGTGGAGGGCCAGACGGAGCCTGTGCGCCCCGGCTCCTCTGCCTACTGTTGCCAGAGCACCGGGCAGGCATCCCCGAAGCAGACCGGGGCTAAGCCACCCAGAACCGGCCTGCAGGCCCCACCAAGGAGCGGGCCGAGGCTCCCAGGCTTATCAGGGCCGGCAGAGGACACCTCCCGCCTTATCCCTGCCTCCAGCACCCGCGGCCACTCTGGGGTTGAAGCCTGCGAATCCTCCTCAAGATTCTTAATCAGAACCAGGCAATTCTTTTTATCTCGAGTCACCCACTGAGTCCCAGGCCCTGGGAGGAGGGGGAAGAAACACCCTGTGCCTTGTGCCCGCAAAGCACGGGGCTTTGACGCTGCCCATCTCGAGACACCGCGCCCGCCCCGCAAACACGGCCCGGGACCGCCGGCCTGCCCGACACCGGCCCTACTTGCCATTGGCCCCGGCGGTCAGACGCGCCCAAAGGGAAGATCGTTTCTCTCCTAGGCTGGGTGCTTCGCTCAGAGCCAAGGCAACCATCCTAGAGGGCAGTAGAGAGAGACAGAGGAGCTCAGAGGCTGAGAAGACAAGCCCAGTGATGCTCTCGGGCCAGAATGAGCGGACCCAAGCGCGGGACCGGGCGGCAGCCCCGTCCGCGGCCTTTGGTGCCACGGGAGACGTCCATCAGGCTCTGGAGCCCCGCCGCCCGAGAGGACCGGCGCGGAGAGTGCGCGTCCGGGCCTGCCCGCGCGCCTTCCCTTTCTCACCACGCTCCTCCCGCCCACACCGACCGTGTGCCGGGGCCAGTTACCTGGCAGACCGAGGTCACGGAAGGAAGGGCCGGCGGGCACCCCCAGCTTTCTCAAGGCTTTGAGCCCCCGGGACACAGAGCCTGGCAGCCACGTGGGATGCATCCTCACAAAGGCACGGAAAAGCGAGGGAGGAAGGAGCATTTGCCAGTGATGCGGCTCCCATGGCAGCGGGCCGCTCCCGGTGGAAAATGGTGGCGGCCGGCTCTGACCCCAGGAGGGCGAGACACCGCCTCTCGGACTGAGGCCCCCATACGCTGCGGGGTCAGCCCGGGTGGCAGTCGCAGTGTGAGCGTGCGCGGAGCGGGGCTGCCGCGGACGGGTGAAGCAGGAGTGGAAGTGATCGCAGGCGCCCGGCTCCTCTGCGCCCCTGGCATGGGCTCCCCGGCCCTGCTGGTGACCCTCCCCTCCTTCCCAGGTGACCTCCATTTCTGCTTGGCTCACGTCTGGGGGGGCCCTGGCCCGGCAGCCCCCCCGCACCGCTCCCGCCCTGAAACACGGCTCTAGCCAACCTGCTCCGCTGCTTCACCTGCGACCGTCTGTGCGGGGGCTGCACGGCGCCCGCGCCCCCCGCCCGCCAGGGCATCGTCCTCCAGCCCGTCATGCCCAGCTGCGACCCTGGCCCGGCCCCCGCCTGCCTCCCCGCCAAGACCTTCCGCAGCTACCTGCCTCGCTGCCACCGCACCTACAGCTGCGTCCACTGCCGCGCACACCTGGCCAAACACGACGAGCTCATCTCCAAGGTAACGCCCTTCCAACCCCCCACCCCAACCCCCACCCCCGCCCCTGCTGCTAAATCGCTTCAGTCATGTCCGACTCTGTGCGACCCCGTAGACGGCAGCCCACCAGGCTCCCCTCGTCCCTGGAATTCTCCAGGCAAGAACACTGGAGTGGGTTGCCATTTCCTTCTCCAATGCCTGAAAGTGAAAAGTGAAAATGAAGTCGCTCAGTCATGTCTGACTCTTAGCGACCCCATGGACCGCAGCCTACCAGGCTCCTCCGTCCATGGGATTTTCCAGGCAAGAGTACTGGAGTGGGGTGCCATTGCCTTCAGGCTCCTCCAAACATCACCCAGGGGTGAGGTCACAAAGCCTGGCCTCCCTCCTCCATGCCCCCGCGGGGGATTCAGGGAGCGCGTGACCCCGGGGTCAAGGGCTCCCCGCAGTCACCATCCGCCCTGTGTCTCCACAGTCCTTCCAGGGGAGCCATGGCCGAGCCTACCTGTTTAACTCTGTGTGAGTCTACCCTCTGCCTTGTGCGCGTGTGCCGGTGTGGGTGAAGAGCTTTCCTCTCTGGAGAGAGGGGCTGAGCCGCCCAAAGGGGGTGCCCTGCGCCCTCTGGCTTTTCCTCTCCTTTGGCGGAAGCCCGGTCTGCCGCTCTTTGGTGGGGAGCCCGGGAGAACTGGGGCGCCAGGCGCTAGACACCAAGGGGCGGGGTGCTAGAGGCGGGGCTCTCAGCTGGGTGGTCGCGCTCTCTCCAGATGCTGGGCCCTCTGGGCTGTTCGGGGGTGCGCTGATGGAGTGACACCCCCCGCCCCGTGTGCCGGGTCCTTCCCGTCTCCCAGGGTCAACGTGGGGTGCGGGCCAGCTGAACAGCGCCTCCTGCTCACGGGGCTGCACTCGGTAGCTGACATTTTCTGCGAGAGCTGCAAAACCACCCTGGGCTGGAAATATGTAAGTGCGGGGACGGGGGGGGGGGGGGGGGGGGTCTCCGTGGGCCCCTCCCCAGGCCCTAGTGTCCACCCGTCAGGTGTCTGCCTGACCCAGGGGGAGGAGGGAGCTAGGAGTAGGGGGACCGGCTGGGGGGCGGGCTTAGGCCGGCGGCGGTAGGCGGGCCCGCCGGCCCACACTGCCGGCCTCCCCTCCGCCAGGAGCAGGCTTTTGAGACGAGCCAGAAGTACAAGGAAGGGAAGTACATCATTGAGATGTCGCACATGGTGAAGGACAACGGCTGGGACTGAGGGGTTCCGGCGGCCTCTGCCCTCCCGACGCATGCCCCACACTCCCACACCTGCCCCCGCCCGGCCGCGTGTCCACACCAGCATGAGTACTGCCCCACCCCTGGGGGGAACCCTGCTCCCACCGCCCCTCCCCCCGCCGCCCCCCCATCATGCCCAGGCCCCTCTGGAATGGGGGTCGGGGGTACCCCAGGGGTGCTGAAGGCTCAGGCGTGGGCAACAGTCAGGGAGAGACAGAAACGGGGGGAAACGGATGGCCGTGGGGCCTTGTCGCCCCCAAGGTCCCGAAAACCGAGGGGCTGGCGGGGTGGAGACGCAGGCAGAGGACCCCCGGGAGGAAGCCGTGTTTGCTCCACTTCTGCGAGCGAACAAAGGACCAACCTCGAGTCCTGGCGCTGGGAGATCCTAGGCCACAGAATAGCAGGTGAGAAGAGGCTCAAGGTGGAGTGAAATGCACGCCAGAGGTACCGGAGTCTCTTAAGGGTGACGTTTCCCACTCCCCATTTGCAGGAGCCAGGATTCGTGGGGTGGGGTGGTGGGCGCGGAAGAAAAAAAAAAAAAAACCCGAGTCCCAGGCCCTGAGAGACCATCAAAGCATCCCAGGGGGTTGCATTTCACTCCCCTTGGTAGTTTACTTGGCACTGAAGAGGCACTTTCGAGTATCTGACCTTTGCCATGGGGTGGGGTGGGGGGAGGTGCCCCCAGGAACAGCCCGGCTGGCAGTCTTCAGAGCGAGCAGGGTTGGTGGGCATCCTCCGAGGCCGGGCCACTGCTCCTTGGGACCCAGGCCCTGGGAGGGAAGGTGGGGGATCAGTGCCACGAGGCTAGGCGTCCTCGTGGCTGCCACCAGCGAACGAAACTTTTGTATGATATATAAAGTGTTTGGGTCTATTTTTAATAAAAAGGGGAAAGCAACATGTGAGGCACTCGGTCCTCTGACTTTTCTTGGCAGGTACCATAGACCGTCCCACGCACACCCCCGCCCCAGGCCTGCCCCTCCAGCTGTTGTTTAGTAGCTAAGTCGACTCTTTTGCAATGCCGTGGACTACAGCCTGCCAGGCTCCCTCTGTCCATGGGATTCTCCAGGCAAGAGTACTGGAGTGGGTTGCCATTTCCTTCTCCAGGGGATCTTCCAGACCCAGGGATCAAACTCAGGTCTCCTGCACTGCAGGTAGATTCTTTACCACCTCAGCCGCCAGAGAAACCCGCCCTCTTACCCCTAGGGGGCAGCAATTGCTCTGTCTATGGCAAGACACCAGGGGATGGAGATTCAGGTGGTTCTGCTTCTGAGATGGTTTTGTTGTTGTTTGAGTGAGCTTCCAGCAGGAGCATCCTTAACAGCTTCTTTCTTTTGGAGCCCTTGGCAAGGGATCCACTTTTGCCTGGTTTGAAGAGATTCATTCCAGAACAAGAGCTTTCTTAGGTCCCACTGCCTTTCAGCCTGGTTCTGGAATCTTTTGGTCAGCTCATGGCCGCTCTTAAAGCGAAAAGGAAAATCGATCAGCCAAGGTGCTGCCCTGGCAGCGGATACAAACTGGAACAAAATAGCTCAACACTGCAGCATCAATGCAACCATGTGACCCAAGTGCAATTGTTGGCAGTGCTGTGAAATTCTTATTGTGGGGTCACCGACAACTGCAGGGAGGATTGGATGAATCATAAAAATCTTTTTTTTTTTTTTTGTAAGCTAGCTTGTTATCTCCACATTCATTCATTGGTTCTGTAAATATTTGTAAGAGCACGCCTCCCTTGCCAGGCCTTGTTAAGCACTGGCAAAGCAGCGGAGAAGAAGGCAGTCGTGGCCTGACTTCATGGAGCTTCCCGTCTAGTGCAGCAGGAGGACAAACAAGAAGCAGGGAATTCCAGGAGAAGGTGATGGGGGCGTAAGCACAGGGCTCGTGGTAGAGGCTTCAGCTAGGCTTGCAGAAGTGATGACTTTGAAAGGCCTTGAAAGCTGAGGGGCTGGGTGAGCAGAAAGGAAGAGTAAGGGGAGGGGGATAGTTCAGGCTGAGAGAACTGTGTCAGCTGGCTCAAGTTTAGTTAACATGAAGAGGAATTAAGTTTCTTTCCTAAACTGGAGCACAGATATGAATGGATGAGAGGTGAGCCAGCCGAGGAAAGACAGGCTGGGGCCATGAAACACTCAAGGGTCCCATCCCGAGGGCACTGAGTAAACCCTGAGAACTTCTTGTCCTTTAATAAGTGGACTCGCATCACCAAATGGCTTTTTTGTGCCCCGAAGAGGCTAAAGCAGAAATGCTAAGAATGAAAAAAAAGAGACCTAAAGCTAACTGGAGGCTCAGATACTATTGTCAACATCAGAATGAAGAGGCTCTTTGGGCAGAAGAGCTTCTAGCACACAGGTGCTAGAAGGCAAATCGAGCCCTGAAGGAATGATGCCCAGCACCCCCATCTGGGAGGCCTCAGGGTGGTCCGTCCCAGCCTGCCTGGTGATGCCCATAGCCTTCTCTCAGGTTCCAGCAAGGGACCCAGAAACCCTGTCCTCAATCCCACTTCTTGGACCAGAGTTCAGAAAGGCTTGTCCTTGAAAATTTCTGACCTTGAACATCAGGCACAAACTAGCTGCCTTCTTAAAGCTCCCCAAATCTGAGTCTCTCTCAATTTACTTATTAAGCCAACTAGGACCTGTGGGAAACAGGAAAGTAAAACGGCCCCCATGGCTCTCAGTTCTTTGTAATCTCTCCTCGAAGAATCATTCTGCGAGTTGCGTTCAAGGGATCCTATGCAATCTTTGCGATCAGGCCATGGGGCGGGACCATCCAAACTTTGGATGATCAGACAGGTGTCAAGTACCCTGTGACCAAGAAGGGTAGGTGGAGAGGTCTCCTTTTTCTGCCTGAGAGCCAGGGAAAGAGCTGCAGGCATGGAATGCCAGGGGCACCCCAGTCCGTGACCCCAGGGTGCAGTCCTTCCAGGTTAGCCTTTTTTCCTTGCCTGTGCACCACCCTCCCCCCGCCCCTTTCTCATGGAGGGCTACTCTAGACCCAGCAGTAATTCAATCTTCTCCACCCACCCTCCGATCAAAAGCTGAGTCTGGGAACTTTGCAGCCAACCAGTCACTCACTCCTTTCCTCCTTAAAGCCTTGAACCTTTAGAAGACACTCTTCTACAACCAGCAGGTGGCACCAAAAACCCTCTACCCCTCAGCTCCGACAACCTTCCTCAACCCTCTCCAAGACTGGTGAGCTGTGATTTAGGACAGGATTAGATCTAGGCTCTGAAGTGTTAAGCACTGTCAAACTCTGGCCGTGCTGCTTAAGTCTCTCCTGACTCAGTTTTTCCATCTGTAAAACGGGGATGTTACTTTTCGGACCCGAGGGCCCACCATGATGCATTTGGTGTCTGGCACAGGGACTGCACGTGGAAGTGTGAGCTATTCCTCTGATTTACTCGGGGGGGTGGGGGGGGCCTTGTAAATTCCCTCCAGGGTGGCTGAGGGGTGCCCAGGCAGGAGAGGAAGGTCGATGCCCGGGAGGCAGCCGGCGCTGGGTAGCGCTGCGCGGCCAATGCCCTTTTAACATTGCACTGCTAGTGACAGGTGCAGACAGTAGCACAATGTGAAAAGAGCTCCGGCCCACAGCAGAGGGGCGCCGGCCCCCCTCCCTGGCCCCTGGGTTCTCCACCCCTTCCTGCCTTCAACACAGCTCCCCTCCTGTCTCTAGTGCCCCTTCTCTGTTTCTCCTCCATTCCTCCTTCTGTCTTCTTCCTCATCTCCTTCCTAACATGGAGACCACCTCTCCCGGAGGTTTCAGGGCAGGGGGAACAGAGTCCAGTGAAGCAGCCTAGCATTCCGTCTTCACGGGAAGATGACTGGGAGACAACCCCGCCCCCAGATCCGGAGGTGCCGTCAAGCCGGGTTTACCTGGATTTGTAGCTCTTGTCAGCTTCCCTCCAGAGAGGAGCTGGCTGGCCCAGACCACAGAGCTTTCTCTCCGCTCTGAAGCTCTCTCTCCTTTTTAGTTTAGATAAAAGGAAGGTCTAGGCCTTCACGGGACGGTCTCGGATGAGGGAGAACAGGCCACACAGAGAGACCCCCAGGCCTGCAGGCGGAAGCTGAGGGTCAAGTCCCGCCTAGGCAGCTCCTCTCGAAGGCCTTCAAAATCCACTGAGTGGATTCAGCGTTGAGCAAAACGGTGCGCTTCATTCCCTCGCCATTAGAGACAGGCTTGCCTTGGCAGTGGGGTCAAAATCTGTTTCCTGTTTATCCAGGGACTCCGGTTCGGGGGTTTTTCAAGCTCACCGGCATCTTCAGACGTCCCCATCCTAGCAGGTCTAAAGGGCTTACAGCCCCGACCTGAGACCGACCAAAGGCTCAGAGTTCCGCAGAGGTCTGGGGTGGCAGGCTCCTGGCTGGCCCGGGGGGGGGGGGGGGGCTGCGGGGCAATTCCGGGGTGCCCCCATCAGAAAGGCCTCTGGGGGATGCCCTGTGCCCTCTCCGCTGGGAGCTCTTACGGGGGGCGGGGGGTGTCCCCTCCCACTAGCTCAGGAAGCAGGAGTCTGCCCCTGCCTTTCCAGGCAGTCTGTTCCTGTAATCGGGGGCCCCAGGCCCACAGTTCTAATGGACGGAGATCCAGGCCCGCGAGGGTCGGTCACCAGCCTCTGCTCTGGGGTTGAGCAAAGCCGTCCTGGTGGGGAACCGGATCATGTCCACAAGGGGCCGAGGGGCCAGGAGGACGGGCCTGCCAGCTTCCTGGAGGCCCGGGGGAGATGCCCCCCAGGGGGCCCAGATCGCACCCGGGTGGGGGGCGGGGCCGGACTCCGCGGCTCTCACGGCCCCTCCCCCCAGAGCCGGCCCCGCGCTCCGGCCGCCGGCGGGGCCCTCCCCCGCCCCGGGCCCGGGAGCCGCCCCCCGGCTCCTGGCGGAGGCGGGCGTGGAAGCCGAGGAGGAAACGGGGGAGGGGCGGCTCAAGTTCCCCGCGCCCCCCTCCTCACCGGCCACCATCTTCCGGCCCCGGCCCCCAGGAGCAGCGGGGGATGGGGCCCGGCCCGCGGCAGGGAGAGAAAGGGCAGGTGGAGGGTCGGCGGGAGCGGCGGGGCAGGCCGGGCCCGCGGCCATGGCGACCGGAGGAGCAGCCCGGAGGGTCCCGGGAACGGGGCGGGGGCAGGGGGCGCGCCCTCCTTCCACACTCAGCTCTGCCCCCCTTTCCGCCCCCGGGACACACACACCTGAGGCTGGACCACACACGGGCGCGCGCGCACACACACTCCAGCCACACTTGCTGCAAGGCTCAGCTTACTACACACTTACCCAGACGGCGTGCGTGGGGGGGAGCCCGCAGCTGGCGCTCACAGCGCACCCCTCCAGGCCCCGCAACTCTTAAGGCAGGGGCGGGCCTCACCCCTGCGCGCAGCCCCCCGGCTCGTCCCACAACTTCTCCCGACGCACAACTCCGCGCTGGGTTTAGCCCCGCGGCCCCTGCGTTCCCCCCTCAACGCCCCCGCCAAGCCCCCTGTGCCCCACACCCCCTGCACGCGCGCGCGCGCACACACACACACACCCTGCGCGCGCGCGCGCACACAGACCCTGCGCGCGCACACACAGACACACATACACACCCTGCGCGCGCGCGCGCGCACACACACACACACACACACACACCCTGCACACAGACACACACACGCACGCCCGGGCACACACAGATGGCCCAGCGGAGCCCCCCCCCCCCCCGCCCCCGGCCCCACCACACCCCCACTGGAAAGGCGCAAGGAGCCACCCCAGCCCGACACGCCTGCTGCTCCCCCGTTCAGTTGCGGCGAAAGAAGAAACCAGAAGAGATGCCCGCGCGCGAGGAGACCGCGGGGGGAGAGAAGACGGAGGAGGGGCCCGACTCACCCCCGGCCCTCGCCGAGAGGATGCGCCCCCCCCCTCACCCCGTCCGCGGCGCTGGCCCTCGGGGCGCCCCGATACCTACACGCCGCGCCTCCTTCCGCTCCTCGGCCCGCCACCTCCCTCTTCCCGGGCCCTTTCTCTGCCCTCCCCGCCCCGGCCTCGCCCCCCGCGCCCCCACTGCCCCCCGCCAGCCGCCCTCCCGGGCTGGGCTCGGGCCCCGCGGCGGCCGCGGCCGAGGCGGAGGCGGGGGTCGCTGGGCGCCGCGCCCGCGCCGGGCCCCCCGCGCCCCCTTCTCCTTCCACACTCCCTGCCGTCCATCTTGAATACTTGGGATTCTTGAATGGAGTGAGCAGGATCCGCTGCCCCAGGCTCCCATTGGCTGCGGGTTCACCCTTTTGAAACGAGATCCTCCGGCCCATTGGCTGCCGGGCTCCCCTCTTCGCCCCCAACCCCCATCCCCCGCGCCCCCCCTACGGCCGGCGAGGTCGGGGCGCTCCCAGGCGCCCCCTCCGCGGGCCTCCCCCCACACTCCACGCGCAGCCCCCCACCCCGGGAGGCCGGCCTCCCGGCTCGTTCCATCACGCCCCCCACCCGGCGGCAGGTGAGGGGCGGACCCGGTTCCCGCCAAACGCGGCTCCCGAAGCCGGGCTCGCGGATGCCCCTGGTGCCGGCGTCGGAGACCCTAGGAGACGCGAGAGGTGCGATTTCCTGCCCGCCTCCCGACGCCCCTTGAGCCGAAGTCCCTCTCCAACCGGGACCCTCCTGGCCGTTCAGCCTCAGCCCAGGCGATCGGAGCAGCGCTGCTGAAGCAGCCAGCCCCCTGGGCTGGGCAGGAAGAGGGCAGCTCCGGAAAGATCTGGGCCCTTGTGAGCTGCCTCAGCCCCTGGTTGCCGCGGGGCAGGTCTGACCCTACCAGGAATGTGCAGCATCTGGAGCGCTGCTCCTCATACAGATCCCCCGGGACCAGCCCGCCCAGCCCCGCCCGGCCCAGTACTGGGCCCACTCGGAGCTGGGAACCCAGACAGGCACGGGGGAAGGAGCCGGGCAGAGAGCCAGGCCTGGACATGGGGGTCCCGTTATTTTGGGCCCTGATTTGCCCTAACATGCTTCACGAGGTCACGGTCTCCTCTCTGGGCTTGTTTCCTGATTTACAAAAGTTTGATCCATAACTTCCTATAGAAGTTTCTATGTGAGGATGGAAATGATCTCTACTGTACCACCCAGTGTGGTAACCACTAGCCAGGTGCAGCTACTGGCCTTTTGAAATTGGCTACTATGACTGTTGTTCAGTCGCTCAGCCATATCCGACTCTCTGCAACCCCATGGACTGCAGCACACCAGGCTTCCCTGTCCATCACCGACTCCCGGAGCTCACTCAAACTCATGTCCATCCAACCGTCTCCTCCTCTGTCACCCCCTCCTCCTCGTTCCCTCAATCTTTCCCAGCTTCAGGGTCTTTTCCAAGACTATGACTGAGGAAATGGGCTTCTGATCCTATCGCATTTTAATCACTTCTAATAGCCACATGTAACCAGCGGCACCAGTTTGGACACTGCAGGTCCAGAATGCCGGTGTTCCTGCTGGTGAAGAACATTCTAGAACTCTTGCTTGGCAGAAAGTCTTTTCTCCTTGTCCCTAGGTACAAAGTCCTCCAGATCCAACGTGCGTCAGTGTCCAGAAAGTGAGGCCACCTTGGTCAGGAATGCTTTCCTTACTACTGTCGGATTGTCGACCTGCTCTGTGGGAGCTGAGATTACACATACCCATGGTGGGGAAGGTTAGTAGAGGATTTGCAAGTTTGCCCAACCTTCATGTTTTTCCAAGGATAAACACCAAGATATTGACCAGAGTTAGGGTGGGGGATGTCCTTGGCCAAAGCTTCCCTGGTAGCTCGTTGGGTAAAGAATCTGCTTCCAATGCAGGAGACCAGGGGTTGGATCCGTGGGTTGGGAAGATCCCCTGGAGAAGGAAATGGCAACCCACTCCAGTATTCTTGCCTGGAAAATCCCATGGACAGAGGAGCCTGGCAGGCTACAGTCCATAGGGTCGAAAGACTTGGACGCGATTGAGCGACTAAACCACCAAATCACCGAGGGCACACAGCACTTGGTACGTTTTTTCTGAGCTTTACAAGGCGTGTGGGATCTTACTTCCTGGACCAGGGATTGAACCCATGTCCCCTGCAGTGGAAGCATGGTGTCTTAATCACTGGACCGGGAGGGACGTCCTCTTCAGAGCTTTTGTGAGCCCGCCACCCCACCCCTCTACTGCCACACACACTATTAAGTTTATTCAATAAATGCACTTCTCTGACCCAGGACATAAAGGACCTGGGGTGGAATTCTCCCAACCTGGCTGATACCGAGGGACAGCCAGCTCTATGGGAGAGGCTGAGCTCCTGGGTCTGCCAGGGTGATGAGAACATGGGCCGCTCAGAGTATGTATCCTAAATCAGGGTGGCTCAGAGACCCCAGTGTGCACCACCCCCAGCATGAGGAGCGGGAGCCGTGAGGCAGAAGACTGACTGGGCGTATCCTCGGGTTGACCAGGAGGCCGAGTCAGCTGTGGCTTCTGCAGGTGGAGTGGACTGGGGTGTGGGTGTTCAGAACTCTGGTGGTTACAGGCAAGGACTGGTGCATACAGGGCCCTAAGCCAGCAGAGAGAGCGGAGCCACAGGGGCTGCCAAAAGGGGCTGTAGCACCTGCTCGAGCTGGAACGGTATTTGTCCTCTTGGAGGGCATCTGGCCGGGTGATGTGCTGTGGGTAAGGGGACGACCCAGAGCTGCCTGGGGAACGGCTTCTGTGCTCAACACTGCGTTATTATAGCTGAAAACTGCTAGAAGACTGCTCCGGGGACAGACAGGTAAGGAGTTCAGAGGAGGCAAGGATGGCTCCCAGTGGGGAAGGGAATCTAAGAAGGCGTCCTGGAGGAAGTAGCATCTAAGACTTGAAGACGAGAGAAGATTTAAAGGAAAAAAGACAAGGATTTCCCTTGTGGTCCAGTGGCTAAGACTCCATGCTTCCAACGCAGGGGGCCCAGGCTTGATCCCTGATCAGGGAACTAGAGCCCGCATGCCTAAGGGTTTTCAGGCCATGACTTAAGATCTTGTGTGTTTCAACGAATATCATAGGTCCCACCTGTCACATCTAAGGCTGGCGCAGCTTAATTAGTTATTAAACAGAAGACAAGAAGATGGGAGGAAGGAAGACCAGGAAATGGCAAGAAGAGGCAGCAACACAAAGTCTGGAAGGTGGGAAGCGGTGATCTGTGCTTAGAATGGGTTGTCAATTCTGTGGGAACCCAGGATGTAGGAAGGAGAATGGCCAGGATGGAAAGTCAGGCCGAGACAGGTGGTGGCAGCCCTGGACACTTCCCGCTGGGCCTGGCTCAGCTCCAGTGACATCATCTTTCTTTCTTTTTTTTTGACACCATTTTTCTTGAAGACGTCCTAACCCTTTCCCCTGCTGAACAGTGAGGCTTCTCAACAGTTCATCAGGCCCCCAGCGCCTCCACCCTTAGCCTTCTGCAGCTTCTACCTTCGTCTGCAGGCCCCCATTTGCATTCCACCAACCTCCTTCCCAGGGCAGAATGGCCTCTGGTTCCCCTCTAGGGAATGGACTGTCCTCAGTCTGCCTCAGCTCCGTGTCCAGCCTCCGGACCCCCTGTGCCGGGAATGAGCTGCACAAAGGCCCTTTCCCACTCCTGTCTGTGCTCAGCCCGTCAGTCAGGCCCTCCAGGCTCCTCTGTCCATGGGATTTTCCGGGCAAGAATCCTGAAGTGGGCTGCCATGTCCTTTTTCACTTACCACATTTTAAACTCCATCCCATCTTGGGAGTTTAAAATGGAGGCCAGGAGACTTACCTGGTGGTCTAGTGGTTAAGACTCCACACCTCCACTGCAGGAGGCACAGGTTTGATCCCTGGTTAAGGAAATAAGATCCCCCATGCTGCTTATCTGGGGTTGGGGTGGGAAATGAGGGCCAGGAGCAGATAGACATCGTCTAACTTGTTATCAGTGCAGTTCAGTCGGTCAGTCATTTCCGACTCAGACCCCGTGGACTGCAGCATGCCAGGCCTCCCTGTTCATCGCCAACTCCCGGAGTTTACTCAAACTCATGTCCATTGAGTTGGTGATGCCATCCAGCCATCTCATCCTCTGTCGTTCCCTTCTCCTCCCGCCCTCAAACTTTCCCAGCATGAGGGTCTTTTCCAGTGAGTCAGCTTTTCACATCAGGTGGCCGAAGTATTGGAGTTTCAGCTTCAGCATCAGTCCTTCCAATGAACACCCAGGGCTGATCTCCTTTAGGATGGACTGGTTGGATCTCCTTGCAGTCGAAGGGACTCACAAGAGTCTTCTCCAACACCACAGTTCAAAAGCATCAGTTTTTCGGTGCTCAGCTTTCTTGATAGTCCAACTCTTAAATCCTAACTTGTTATAGGAGTGTAAAAAAAAAAGGTACCAGGAGCTATTTGGCTCCAGCCCCCGCCCCTACATTCTTTCCCCCTGTCTGGGAGTTCTGGAATGGTCCTGGGCTCTTCAGTCGCCTTTCTTCCTCATTGTCTGGGTCCAGGGTCACTCTGGAGGTGGCCCTCTGCCTTTCTCACTGATCTCCAGAGTCCCTCCAGATCCCTACTTGGATATGTGTGTGTGCAACAGATCAGTCGTTTCCATGAGATCAGTCGTGTCCGACTCCGCCCCCCCCGCCCCGCCCCTTGGACTGTGGCCCGCCAGGCTCCTCTGTCCGTGGGATTCTCCAAGCAAGAATACTGGAGCAGGTTGCCATTTCCTCCTCCAGGGGATCTTCCCGACCCAGGGATCAAACCCGTGTCTCCTACATGTCTCCTGCATTGCAGGCGGATTCTTTACCGCTGAGCCACCACGGAACCTCGTGGAGCTGGGTAACTGTGAGCACCAGTCCTCTGCCCCCTGGAAGGACTGACTCTGAAACATTGGAGACACGCTGCCTCTCCGACTGAACGTCAGTGGAGGGGACCAGGCTTCATGGCTCCTCACTCCGCGAGCTGACACAGGCCTTTCCATGAGGAGCACTTTCCTTTCCCCTCCTTCTACAATGAGGTGTTTTGTGTCTTCTCTCATCTGCTTCTGTGTCTGAGGGCTTCCTGTGAGGAAATATCTGGGATTACTGCTGGGAGACATTCCTAGCCCCCGAGGTGCTCCTAGTTGAGGGTTGAAAGGCAGACACACCAAAAGGAAGTCAGAGAGCCACAGGTGTCCAGATAGGTGCGAGAACCTTCTCTCGGAGGCAAACCCACCTCCCTGAGGTCTTGATGCTGGTCTTGCTTCATCAGTTGCCCCATTTACTTGCGTCTCCAACCCCCTTCCAGGAGCCCAGAGCAAGAGTCGGCGAGTTGGAGCCCACAGACTGGATCCTGTCCACCGCCTGCCGCAGACTCCTGTTTGCTTGTTTGGGACATTTGCGGTTCTGTCTGCTTTGGGGGATCTGCTCTTTGTTTTTGTGGTTGAGGTTCCCCGGGACGCAGCCCTTGCCCCTTGGTCACACTGCCTATGACCGCCTTCGCACTACGGTGGCCGGGTTGAGTGGTCATCACCGCAGAGATCCCACAGCCAGCCCAACTTAGTCTGTTTCTTAGCTGGCTCGTTACAGCAATGGTCCGTGGATGCTTGGGACCCTGATGTGTCGGAAGGCTGTACCAGCACTCAAGGAGGGCCACTGAAATTGCCCCAAGATGGGACTGGGAAGATGTAGCGGAGGTGTTCGCTGTCAGCCCACACCTAGGCTCAAATCAGGCCAAGTCGGCCACTTCTCACAGAGCCAGTCGGCTTTCCGCATCTCTCCTTCACGTCCCGCCCACTCGTAAACCCGTGCAGTCCAGCCTCTGCCCCTCCTTTCCGCAGAAACGGTTCCCACTAGGACCACCGCGACCCCCCAAGCCTGGTCCGTCACCCTTTGCTCAGTCCCGGTCACGCACGAGCTCTCTTTAGCATCTGCCTCTCTTGACTACATCCATCTTGAAATTCTGGTGGCTTCCAGGAGACTAGAGCAACCTTGAATTGCCTCTTATTTCTTCAGTGATTCCTTGTCGGGTCCCTTCCCTTGGGTCTCCTTCCTTCCCCTCCTGCCTAAGCACACGCTCTGCACACATTTGCCCAGGGCCTCCGTCTTCCCTCGAGGTTTCTCACTGGGACAAAATCATCCCTTTGCCTGCTTTTAATATTAATACTCATGTCGATGTGGATGTCTTTCCAGCGTTTAACTTCTGAACGGACAGCCCAGATTTCCATCTTCCCGAAAAAAAATCTCTGGCGGTCCAGTGGTTAAGACATTGCCATCCAATGCAGGGGATGTGGGTTCGATCCCCAGTCAGGGAGCCAAGATCCCGCAACCTTGCGGCCAAAAATAACCCCAAAGAGAAAGCAGAAGCAAAACTGTAAGGAATTCCAGAAAGGCTTTTAAAAATGGTCCACATTAAAAAAAAAGAGAGAAGCCCAGGTTTGTAAGAGAATGCTGCAACTCCTCAAATGCTTGTCTTTTGAGCAGACAAGCCGATTTCGTTCACTATCACTGTCAGAGGCACCGTGCTGACCCCTGCCCTGCCCGGTGCATGACTGCCTCGCCTCCCGTCTCCCCCTCCATGGCTGCTCGTCCTGAGAGGTCTGCCCTCGATGCGTCCCTCCTCCGGGGCAGTCTCATCCACTCCTGCAGTTTCAGCGGTCACCTGTGCGTGAATCACTGCCCAGTCCGTCTCTGGGTGTGTTTCCAGCTGCCACCTTGCATTCCCAGCATATGAGGTAGGTGTCAGGTGTTTCTGCCTGCCCAGACTCCATCCTGAACCTGGTAACTGCCCCTTAGCTTTCCTTTGGGGAGACAACTGTTCCCTGCTTTCCCCCACGTGGTTCACCCAAGGCTGACCTCATCTGCCCCTTGGGGGGGCAATCCCAGAAGCCAGGTGTATCAGTCGTCTCTGGCTGTGTGACAAATTAGCCCAGAATTCAGTGCCTTAAGACAGCACGCATTTATTTTCTCGCTGTTTCTGTAGGTCGGGAATCTGGGCAGGCTTAGGTTGGGTCCTCGGATCATGGCCTCTCATGAGACTTCAACCAAAGTGTCCCCCAGCGCTCGGGTCTCATCTGAAGGCTCAGCAACGCTTGCAGAGTTGTGGGCAGGATTCAGTTGCTCACGGGCTGTCGGACTGAGGGTCTCGGCTCTTTGGTGGCAATTGGCCACGCTCAGCTGCTGGCCACGTGGGCGTCTGCCCCGTGGCGGCTTGCATCAGCAAAGCCAGCAAGTCTGCTAGCAAGATGGAAGTCAAAATCTTCTGCCGCCTAATCCCAGAAATGACCGCACCACCATGTTGCCATATTTGATTGGTCAGAAGTAAGTTACTCAAGAGGAGAAGATGACACAAAAATATCATCTAGGAAGCAGATTCACTGGGGGGACAACTTCGAGGCTGTCAACCACAGAAGTTTTAGCCAGTTAAACCACAATAATTGAGTCAAAGCCGGGTATCTAATCAAAGTCAATCGGAATTAGACCTGAGAGGTTTGCCAGGACTTTGGAGAGAGTGGAGTTGCTGGCATTGTTCTGCAGGAGACGGTAAACTTGAAAGCGCTGGAGGTCATAACCACTGCCTTCTGGAGGAGAATCAGCCTCAACTGGAAATGGATTAAGGAACAAGAAGGCAAGAGACGGGCAGAGAGATATGCCTGATACAGCCACACTTACAGCAGACCCTCTAGAGTCTTTGGTTATATAAACCCAGATGTTCCTTCTGCTTCCATTGGTTTCAGACGAATTCTGCCACCCACAGCCAGAGGGATCCTAGTGGATAAAATGTCTCAGAAATACCTGGATTCAGCTTGCCCAAATCCAGTTCAATGATCTTACCTTCGTCTCCCTCACAAAGCTGCTGCTTTTCCTAGGTTCTATTTTGCAATTGAAAGCATGACACAGATGCTTAGGGCGAAAACCTCGAAGTCATTTTTGCCCTTCCTCATCTGCTCTGGGGGTGGAATAGCCCGTGCAACATGGATTCTATAGAACGGTAGGAGAGACTGTTTTCCTTCGCAAAGACAGAGGAGGCTCTAAGGTGACCCAGAGAAATGTAAGCTAAACAAGGCAGGTTTCCTCCTAGTCATTTGAATCCTACAGAATTTCTAGAGATGAATCACATGATTTAGAGGTGGAAAATAGTGTACCTGACTGTCATATCAAAACATATCACAGACAAAATGAAGTTCTGACAAGCTGCCTGGTGACCTTGTCGTTTGGAAGGCACTTTGAGTGAAAATATTCACTCTGACTCTAAGGAAAATTTTAAGAAATTGTGTTGTTGGAAAGTCAGTCATACTTTCTTTGTCATCTTTCTTGTTAGAGTCCCAATCGTAATTCTGATTTTCCCGTTCTTTCCCTATGCCACTTTCATCCAGAACTGCCCTGAACCCTGTGCGTTTAGATGCTATTCACCTGTCAGTTTAATATCCACCCTGGGGTTTTGGATCCTCCTCTGAAAAGCATTCCTTCCAATCTCCCGTCTTTCAGAGTGTGAGTCCACAACATGGACCTCAGACCATTCATCTGCCCCAAACTGTGATGGCTCTCTAGTGCCCAAACCACATTTTCTAACCTCCATTGGGTTGTTGGTTTTTAGTTGCTAAGTTGTGTCTGACTCTTTGCAACCCCACGGACTGTAGCCCACCAGATTCCTCTGTCTATGCAATTCTCCAGGCAAGAACACTGGAGTGGGTTCCCATTTCCTTCTCCAGGGGATCTTCCCAACCCCGGGATCAAACCAGTGTCTCTTGCATTGGCAGGCAGATTCTTTATCTCTGAGCCGCCAGGGAAGCATTTAATGGGTTAAGGACCCTTTTTTAAAAAGCTGATGGACTCTATGGGTAAGGTAGATCTTTCTAGAAAAATCTATATTTTGTGTTTTGATGTACATTTCAAGATTATGAACCCTCTGGAGTTCACTACATATTGCGCCCACCTTTCATAAATTTAGGTTAGACCTTCATACAGAGAATACATTCCAAACTTTTTTTTTTATTCCAAACTTCTTAGTGTGGCATTCAATGCCTTCCAGACTGAACCCTACCTGCCTTTCTAATTGCAGCTACCGCCTCGTGCAGTCACAGTTAGTTTATGTCTGATTCCCCGTCAAGCCCAGAGTCTCCCTGAGAGCAGAGAGTGTGCCTTTCAATTTTTCCTTGTTACATCTCCCCAGACAGAATGACAGTTTCTCAGGGGCAACAGTCAGAACACTTAGTACAAGATCAATTGTTAGTTCACTGCTAGATTTTTAAAAAAATTATCTTATTATTGTAAGAATGCTTAATATTTAACATGAGATTTACCCTGTTAACAGATTTTAAAATGTGCAATGCAGTATTATTGACAATAGACACAATGTTGTACCGCAGATCTCTAGAATTTATTCATCTTTCTTAATTTAAACTTTATGCTGGTTGATTAGTAATTTTCCATTTCTCTTTCCCTCCAGCCCTTGGCAATCACTGTTCCATTCTTTGATTCTGAGAGTTTAACTATCTTGGAAATGTCATATAAGTGGAATCACACAGTATTTGTCTTTCTGTGATAGGCTTATTTTATTTACTGTAATATTGTCAAGGTTCACACATGTTTTCACTCATTGTGGAAGTTCCTTCTGCTTTTAAGGCTGAATTCTATTCCACTGTGTGCCTTTACCACATTTTCTTTTTTTTTTTTTACCACATTTTCTGTATCCATTCGTTGTCAATGGACATTTAAGTTGTTCCCACATATTAACTATTGTGAATAATGTTGCAATGAGCAGCTAGATTTATTAATTTCTAGCAGCAAAAGGATTTTAGGGTGACATGACAAGCCAGTATGATTCAATGTCCTATGCCCCAAATCTGTATCTGCAGAAAGCCCTGATTTCAAAACTTTCCAGTTGTCGTGGACCCCACAGGGACAGGAACTGTTCAGACATTGTGCCATGATTTTGGTTTAAGAAAATATAGGTCTCCGCTGGGGAACTTCTTACGGCCTTGGCCAGTACTAATATCAGGAATTGTTTTCGGCAGCCGGAGCCCTTTGGGACCCTGGAGAAACTTAAAGAACCGGCTCCGCTGGTGGATTCTCAGGTGAGTTTATTGATTTCATATTGCAGCTCTCAGCTCCACCCCCACCCGCAGAGCAAGCCAGAACAGGAGGTAGGAATGTCTCCTCTGTTGCTCCAAAATGGGCTTTCTCAGGAGATCTCCTGGGAGTCCCGGGGGAGGGGCAATTTCCTTTTGCCCCTCTTTGGCCCCGTTTAAAAATTCCCTCCCCCACCCCCACCTCCCATGGGTGAGGGACATTTCATATCACAGGGTGGGAAGTGGAAAGAAGACAACGTGAGTCCATTGTAGTCCAGGCCCTCTGCGGACCAGGGCTCTGTCTTGCATGACACGGTATTTCCAGGTTTGCAGAGTGCCTAGCACATAATGAGCCCTCAAGTTATACCTGTTGAATGAATGAATGGGGAAACGGGAGACGTCAGTGGTCTTGGCTTCTAATTTGTGAGTGTTTGTCTTCAGAAGCTCTATGCTTTCTCTGTGGACACTTGGAATCTTGTGATTTCATCCAACAAGCAGCTCTACAGGATCTGGGTCCTACTAGGCCTGTCAGGACCAATGAGATGACCTCAGATTTCTCTCATATGCAACATATGCATCACTGATAAGTCAGATACCCTCCTTGATTCTATCGATGTGCTATGGTTGGGGTTATCAGTTAATATCAGTTTCTACCTCATGATCCATAATGGCCACTCAAGCGCCAGCCATCGTGTTTTATTCCAGCCTGTAGAGGGGAGGAAGAAGGACTGAAGAAGGATGTGCTCCTCTTTTAAAGGGACTTTCCAGAGGTTATCTCTGATACTTCTCCTTACCTCCCATTAGCCGGAATGTAGTCACATGGTCCCAGCAGATTTCAAGGGAGGAGTTCTTTATATTTCAGGTGGCCAGGTAACCAACCGGCTAAATATCAGGGGCGCTGTTACAAGGGAAGAAGTGGGGAACG